GCAGATCTATAATGGAGAAGATCCATTTGGGGCTTGCACAGGGCGCCATATTGGAGGAATCAAATGGGATTTAGCTGCCCCAGCGTCCCTGGCATCCCTTCACACACACCCCACTCCCGTGATGGGTGAATCATTGCAAAAGACAGCAGTTTACAAGAAAGGAATAAGGAAGTGAAGTTATCTTGAGAGGGAGAGTAATCTTGAAATTCGCTTATAAATCATGTTCCCCAGCGGAGGAACCGGTGGGGTGGAATTCTTGTGATCTTCCTTGCTTGTAAAAATTTTATAATCTTGCTCTGGGAATGCTCATATATCCTGCAACAATATTACAAAAGATTACCTTCCCCGCCCCTTTAAAATTTAAGGGCCAATATTTGCAGCCTATTAAAGTGCTCAAGGAAATGGAATCTATAAAATATAGCCACTAATTTTACCCTTCGGAACAGTGGAAGAACCATAACTAGTGCTAGAAAAGCACTAGAAGGAATAGAACAATTCGGACAAGTAGCAGGTTTCAAATTAAATAAGAAAAAAACAAAAATGTTATTGAAAAATATGAACTGAGATTTGATTGATACATTGCAGCATCAGAGTGGAATAGAGGTTGTTAAAAAAGTTGAATATCTAGGAATCTGGTTAACATCGAAAAATATAAATTTATTTAAAGAGAATTACACACTGGTATGGATTGGTACTAAAAGTGACTTAGAAGTGTGGGGAAGAATGAAACTATCCTTAATGGGTAGGATTTCAGTTATTAAAATGAGTGTGCTACTGAAAATGTTGTTTTTATTTCAATCAATCCCAATAATTAACGGAGTTGGTATCTTTAGAGAGTGGCAAAAAGCAATTTCAAGATTTATCTGGCACGGGAAGAAGCCAAGAATTAAATTTAAACTGTTAACAGATATAAAAGAAAGAGGAGGCTTCTCCCTACCACATTTGAAATTGTATTATGAAGCATCATGCCTTTGTTGGTTAAGGGACTGGATATTATTGGAGAATACAGATCTTTTAGATCTGGAAGGATTTGACAACAGATTTGGATGGCACACATATCTCTGGTATGGCAAAGTAAAAGTTCATAAAGGATTCGGAAACCACATATTTTGAAAGTCATTGTATGAGGTGTTGGGTAGAAATCTATTAGAACGTAAGACACCATGGTGGCTCTCGCCACTTGAGGCAATGAATGTAAAAAAGAGAAATATGAGTAAATATTGAGCCACCTATGAACAATTAGTAATAGAGAGGGAGAACCAATGGAAACTAAAGCCATATGATGTAAAATGTATGGTGAATGATTGGTTGCATGATCGTCAAGTCAATGAAATGTTTAAAGAAGTTAAAAATAAAAATGGATTCAGATATACAAAATCAAGATTTGAATTGGAGTTATTAAATAACAGAGTTAAAATATTATCTAAAATGTATAAATTACTATTGGAATGGCATTTGAAAGATGAGGAAGTTAAATCGGTTATGATTCATTGGGCCAAAGATATTGGTCATAATATACAAATAGAGGATTGGGAAAAATTATGGAAAGAGGGAATAAAATTTACTGCTTGCAGTGCGTTGAAAGAAAACATTATGAAAATGAAGTACAGGTGGTATATAACACCAGTGAAGTTAGGTAAAATGTACAAAAGTGATAACAAATGTTGAAAATGAAAAGAAAAGGAGGGTACTTTTTACCTTACGTGGGGGGAATGTACGAAAGTGAAGGACATCTGGGAAATGATTTATAATGAATAGAAAAAAATGCTGAAATATACATTTGTTTAAAAAACCAGAAGCCCTTCTGTTGGGTATTGTGGGTACAGAAATTCATATGAATGATAAAAAATTGTTTTTATATGCGATAACTGCAGCAAGGATATTGTTAGCCCAAAGATGGAAACAAGAAGGAATGCCAACAAAAGATGAGTGGCAAGAGAAATTGATGAACTATGCTCAGATGGCGAGATTAACCAGGAAAATTCGGAACCAGCAGCACCAGACTTTCTTAAAGGAATGGAAGAAGTTTTCGACATATATGGAAAGCAACTGTAACCAATTGACATCGCTTGTAGGGTTAAAAGAAGTTTTGTAAGGAGTAATATAAACATTATTGTGAAAAGAATTAAGAATAGGAGTTAAGATTTGAATTTATAGCAATAACTGTAGTAACAAAATGCATAATTAGGAAGGATTTTAGAAAACCATCAGTTGAGGTTGAAGGAAGTCTTAGGCTGTGGTAGCCAAAATTTTTGAAATGCAGTTTAAAAGGATGATATGCTGGGAAATATGTGGAAAAAACAATAAAAAATTATTAATATATTTAAAAACAAGAAACACCGGACAAGAAGCTCAGAAACTGTAAAATGAGGGCAAGGTCATAACTATGGCATGGTCTGCTCAAACAATCTATAAAACACACACAAAAAAATTCTCTTCCATTTAATTTGCATACAAAAGCCAGGAAAGTGTCATTAGAAACTCATCTAGACAAAGATGAGAAATGTCAAACTTTTTTTATTCCCTTCTCTTCTGCTCATTTTTAATATAGATAGATAGATAGATAGATAGATAGATAGATAGATAGATACATATTCAAAGATATACAAAAATACAAACCCACAGCAAAGTATCTTTTTATAATATACGGAATTAAAACAGTAGGCAAAAACCAAATGGCACCAATCAGCCAATGGACAAAATTCCTACCAGGCCCCTGCCCCAACGGCAGACGACCCCATGACAGGCATAGCAAGGTCAACACACAAGACCTAAAATTAGGGAGGGTGGGAGGGTGACCCGGTGCACGCAGCGAAAGAGAAAGCACGAAAAATAAAGCTTAAGAAACCTCTGTTCCATCCCCAAAGATGGTGTCCTCTCCCGGCTGCGCCACCTGCGCCTTGCTGATCTCATCAGCCATCGCGAACCGCCACCTCACGCGACTCGCTCGCCCCGCATTCCATATCCCGGCTCCACCTCCTCCGGTTCCATCCAACCCTTTTCCAAAATATTCTGTGATTTTTTTTTTAAATATACATTTTTATTGGTTTTTTAACATACCAGTTCCAACAGTCATACAACATAACTTCTCATCTTATACAATATTTTTTAGACTTCCATCAACACCTCGGATGATTTTCCGTTCTTTATCACTTATTGTGCATTTCTTAGTTTCTATACTACATTTAATTGTCCTTAACTAATGATTCTCTTCATAGTCTTAATTAATTTTATAATGAATGATTTTAGAGTGTTATTTGTGCTGTACTTTTGTACTGTTTTATTGTTGTTAGCCGCCCTGAGCCCGGCTTCGGCTGGGGAGGGCGGGATATAAATAAATGTTGTTATTATTATTATTATTATTATTATTATTATTATTATTGCAATATTTCAAATAATCCACCTTACAAAACCTCTTGCAGTCCTACTAGCGTAATCTGCTCATCACAATTACTTTTCAAATAGTTCATATATTTAATCCAGTCTTCCAAGAATCTCTGGCCCCGCAGGATTCGAATCCTTCCTGTTAATTTATCTAATTCTGTGTAGTCCATCAACTTCATCCTCCATTCTTCTTTCGTCGGCAGTTCTCCTTGCATCCATTTTTCTGCCAATAATATTCTTGCTGCTGTCATTGCATATAAAAACAACTTACAATCCTATCTATCAATATCACCCCCTTTTCCAAAATATTCTGAAGCATACGGGGTCTTGGTCTTGGTCACAGCAGTGGCGTTGGAGTGGGTGGGCACCAACCATTTCTGCCCATGCCCTGATCATTAACATCATACGGTGGTACCTCGGGTTAAATACTTAATTCGTTCCGGAGGTCCATTCTTAACCTGAAACTGTTCTTAATCTGAAGCACCACTTTAGCTAATGGGGCCTCCTGCTGCTGCCGCTGCACCACTGGAGCACAATTTCTGTTCTCATCCTGAAGCAAAGTTCTTAACCCGAGATACTATTTCTGGGTTAGCGGAGTCTGTAACCTGAAGCGTCTGTAACCCGAGGTACCACTGTAGTTTTTACTACTGCAGGCATTTTTATGCACCGTTTGCCCTGGTATATTTGTTTTTGTACGCATCCCTGGGCTGGCAAACAGCACTGCAACGGTTAGGAAAGCGTGAATTCCAAAGGCTGGCTCCAGCCTTTCTGTTTGCGCATTGTCTTGGAAAGCGCAGATTCTATAGGTTTGCCTAACTCAGGAATTAATGGAAGCTCTTCCCTGCCTCTGTTCGTCCTGCTTGCAGCGCTTGGTGATGCCACCTCAAAGTTAAACTGCTGCTGATTCTTACCTAGAACAAATGGCGTCAAACTGGAAGCTGAAAAATAATGTATTTTCAGGCTTAATGGATAGAAATGTGTTTTGCAGATAGCAGCCAAACAACCTGTAGAACTTAGGGGAGGAAACTTGTTAAAAAAAAACCCCTGACTTTTCTTCCTTCCTTCCTTCCTGTCTTTCTTTCTTTCTTTCTTTCTTTCTTTCTTTCTTTCTTTCTTTCCAGCCAGGCTGCTCTTGGTCTCAATGGCCTGTTCCTAGCTAAGGAGCACATTCAACCTTTTCTCACAGTCTGAAGTGGCTTGGCTCTTTGCAGCGCGACCCCTCTCTCTGAGCTATTCTTTTGGCCACGCCTTCCCAATTTTAGGCTCCACTGGCCCTGCCTTACTGGTCTATATAATGCACACCTTTTGCCACCTGAGGGGCGGCTGTCCAAGGCAGCCACCAACCACCCAGCCCAGATCAACCAGCAACAGAAGGTAAGGAGACTGGGAGGAGGGGTGGTTCGAGATGAAGTGGTGGGCTAGACTTGGAAGGGGGTCTTCTTTTTTAAAATATAATTTTAAATTAATTTTTCAACATATCATTTTCAACAGTAATTAAACATACTTTCATTTCAAATTGTGAGCTAGAGACGTGCTGCTTTAATGAAGGAGGCCAAACCAAGCCCTTTGACGCATTTTGGCTGCCTCTCTTTCTCCAGGTTACTGCAGAAGCCGCCATGGCCCAGACCGTCCTTCTGAGTGTTGCCCTTCTGAGTGTCGTCCTCTCCTTCCATGGCGCCTTGGGCATCAGTGGCTGCAGAGTCACTCAAACCGGGCTGGAAAACTGTAAGTGATGCTGCCCTTGCTGCAGATGTGCCACTTAAAATCCCCAAGCCAACCATTTATTTATTTTGCAGAAAACCCCCAGGTAGCTCAACGCTTGGTGTGTTTCTCGGATGCAACAACAACCCATACGAACAGGTTCCAGACACGGTTCCTTGCCATGCCTCCCCTCCCTCAGAGAACCAGGGGAACTGTAGTTTTGCGAGGGCGCAAAGAGTTCTTGGGCCTGCACATTTCTTGGGATTCCTTCCTTGTGCACCACCAGCTACGACCTTTAAGACATTCTGGAGCTGTGTGGCATCTATAGGGTTGTGGTTGGCATCTGTCTGTCTTCAGAGACATTGGAGTGTGACTGCTGCGTTAGCAGCACCAAAGCGACCTCTGGGGGACAAGACTGGGCAGTGTGTTTGGAGGTCCTGGGATGCCCAGAGGACAAGACCTCCCTCTCAGCCCCACTGATGTGGTCCAGAGGAAAGCAGAGCAATGTGTTTGAGCCTTTTCTTCTCCCAGCAGATTCCCTGCAAGGCAGTGGAGGTTTAGGATGAGCGCTTTGCTTCTCCTAGATGGGTTCCCTTCCCAGGTGGGCAAGGTTCAGCCAGACGTTCCAACTTCCAGATACCTGCTGAAAACTTTTGCAATTATTCCATCAGGCTTGAGCAGGCAATTAAGAACGGCATCTTTCTGTAAGAGCTAGCTGACCTCTGATTATAATTTTTTATACAGCTTTATATACAGGTGAAACACGGAAAATTAGAATATCGTAGAAAAGTTCTTTAATTTCAGTAATTCAACTTAAAAGGTGAAACTAATGTATGAGATAGACTCATGACATGCAACGCGAGATATGTCAAGCCTTTATTTGTTATAATTGTGATGATCATGGTGTACAGCTGATGAAAACCCCAAATAAACAATATCAAAAAATTAGAATATTAAATGAAATCAGCAAAAGAAGAATTGCAAATAGCTGTACGCCACAGCAAATAAAGGCTTGACATATCTCGCTTTGCATGTCATGAGTCTACCTCATATATTAGTTTCACCTTTTCAGTTGAATTACTGAAATAAATGAACTTTTCTCATGGCCACGACTTTCCCAATGCTGAATGTGGAAGACTGCTGGCTTGCACCAACCCTGGCTTGTTCCAGGGCATTGAAGAACCTGGTCCTTGCCTCTCCCTTCTCCAATAATCTCCTGTTTGTGTTGTCTTTACAGATTGCCTTTCCACAAAAGATTACTGGGCGCAATCCCTGCAAGGTCCTATCCAACAGCTCCCTGTCCCCGCCCTTCCTGGTCTGGCTGGGTGAGTAACGATCTTCCTGCGGGGAAGTCATTAGTTTAGATGCTTTTATGGGAGACAAGTTCCACTCTCCAAGTTGCTCCGGGTTCTTTTTTCTCTTGGAATTCTGGAAGCCAAGACCCAAGTTTGGGGCAAGCGCTCTTTGGTGAGAAGACCCCCCAGCAGAGATGTAGCATGGCAAAACACGCAGCAAAGAGAAGTGTAGAAATCTAGGCTGTGAAACCTTTCAAATGTGTCCTTCTGGTGAATCGCACAATGTCCCCTTTTAAAAGTTTTCCTCAAGCTATCCCACTTCCCTTGCACAGAGAGAGGCCACATGTCCAGTAAGTCATAAAGTGCTTTACTTACAAACTGTCCAAAGGTCAGGTTCATGTGCTTTTCCATACAGCAGTCAGAAAAGATGCACAGGCAGTTTAAAATGTTGCTTAGTTATAAAAGGTAAAAGTAGAGGAGAGAAAAGCTAGTTTCAGACTCCATTCTTTCTGAAACAAAAGAGGCTGGTTAAAGCCATGCGACCGGAGCAAACAGCTCAGACCTCCTCACATGCTGTAATCCACACGCTTCGTCTAAATCGGTGGTCCCCATACTTTTGGGGGCTACTGCCCCTTTGGTTCCATAAACCCATCCCCAATGCCCCTTGCCTTACCCTCTAGAAAGCCTTATTCAGAATGGTGGTTTGCATGACCTACTAAGAAGAACAACACAGTGAAATTCAAAATTGTCATGGTGGCTTGTACATTTATTCAAAATCCAAATGAAGCCGTTCAATCAAATGGATGAATGTTATCCAGTGATGCCAGATTTTCAAAGTCTGATAAGTCTTTTGCAACTCCAGTGCCCCCCCAACACCTCCTTGCCTCTTAGCACCCCACCCTGGGTAATCCCCCTGCCCCCTGGTAGCAGTCCCTCTCCTAGCATCTATACATATCCGTACAAAGACTATGGGCCCAGAATTGATTATTGATGGATGCCAGTAGAGTTACTTAAGAAGAGAGACCCAGGAGAATCCAGTCTGCTTTAAAGCATCCTGGATTACTTAAACTACAAGGCTAAAGCTAGCCTATCAAAGCTTCCCTTTTAATCTGCAAAGGAATGGCACTCTGCTGAACTCACAAATGTGAGCAAGGAAGGATAATATGCGATAAATAGATCCTCTCCTAGCATCTATAAACATTCCTACAAGTACTGCCCACTTTGGGAATCATTGGTCTCTAAAACAATGGCTGTCACCCACCTGAATAGAACTTTGCCAATTAATCAGATGCTTAATAAATAATAATAATAATAATAATAATAATAATAATTTATTATTTATACCCTGCCCATCTGCCTGGGTTTCCCCAGCCACTCTGGGTGGCTTCCAACAAAATATTAAAATACAGTGGTCTGTTAAACATTAAAAGCTTCCCTAAAAAGGGCTGCCTTCAGATGTCTTCTAAAAGTCTGGTAGTTGTTTTTCTCTTTGACATCTGGTGGGAGGGCGTTCCACAGGGCGGGTGCCACCACCATGAAGGCCCTCTGCCTGGTTTCCTGTAACTTGGCTTCTTGCAGCAAGGGAACCACCAGAAGGCCTTCGGTGTTGGACCTCAGTGTCCGGGCAGAATGATGGAGGTGGAGACGCTCCTTCAGGTATACTGGACCGAGGCTGTTTAGGGCTTTAATGGTCAGCACCAACACTTTGAATTGTGCTCGGAAATGTACTGGGAGCCAATGTTGGTCTTTCAGGACTGGTGTTATGTGGTCCTGGCGGCCACTCCCAGTCACCAGTCTAGCTGCCGCATTCTGGATTAGTCGTAGTTTCCAGATCACCTTCAAAGGTAGTCCCATATAGAGCGCATTGCAGTAATCCAAGCGAGAGATGACTAGAGCATGCACCACTATGGCGAGACAGCCTGTGGGCAGGGAGGGTCTCAGCCTACTTACCAGATGGAGCTGGTAAACAGCTGCCCTGGACACAGAATTGACCTGTGCCTCCATGAACAACTGTGAGTCCAGAATCACTCCCAGGCTGCGCACCTGGTCCTTCAGGGTCACAGTTACCCCATTCGGGACCGGGGAGTCCCCCACCCCTGCCCACCTCCTGTTCCCCCAAAACAGTACTTCTGTCTTGTCAGGATTCAACCTCAATCTGTTAGCCGCCATCCATCCTCCAACCGCCTCCAGACACTCACACAGGACCTTCACCGCCTTCACTGGTTCTGATTTAAAAGAGAGGTAGAGCTGGGTATCATCCGCATACTGATGAACACCCAGCCCAAACCCCCTGATGATCTCTCCCAGCAGCTGCTTGTAGATGTTGAAAAGCATGGGGGAGAGGACAGAACCCTGAGGCCCCCCACAAGTGAGAGCCCAGGGGTCTGAACACTCATCCCCACCACCACTTTCTGAACACAGCCCAGGAGGAAGGAGCGGAACCACTGTATAACAGTGCCCCCAGCTCTCAGCCCCTCTAGACGGTCCAGAAGGATGCTTTGGTCGATGGTATCAAAAGCCGCTGAGAGATCCAGCAGAACTAGGAAACAGCTCTCACCATTGTCCCTAGCCTGCCGGAGATCATTGACCAGTGCAACCAAGGCAGTTTCAGTCCCATGAAGAGGCCTGAATCCCGACTGGAAGGGATCCAAATGGTCCGCTTCTTCCAGGCGTGCCTGGAGTTGTTCAGCAACCACCAGCTCAGTCACCTTGCCCAAGAATGGAAGATTTGAGACTGGGCGATAGTTGGCCATATTGGCCGCATCTAAAGATGGTTTTTTAAGAAGCGGTTTAATAACCGCCTCTTTCAGCGGGTCTGGGAAGGCTCCCTCACAGAGGGAAGCATTCACCACCCCACAAAGCCCATCGCCCAGCCCTTCCCGGCTAGCTTTTCTAAGCCAGGATGGGCAAGGATCAAGGAGACAGGTGGTTGGTTTCACTCGTCCAAGCAGCCTGTCCACATCCTCGGAGGTAACAAATTGGAATTGATCCCACACAACTTGACTAGACAGGACTCAAGCACTCTCCTGCCCCGGCCCTGCTCCCACGGTGGAGTCTACCTCTTCCCGAATCTGAGCGACTTTATCTGCAAAAAACTTTGCAAAATCATTGCAGGAGATCATGTGGCCCGTATCTCTTAATGAATTGCTTCAAAGGTGCATATATCTGCATGGGAGTAAAAAACCCAAGACCGCAGTACTTGGGCAGTCTCCTTCCTTTTTTGCTTTTGATGGTCACACGCAGTCGCAGAGCAGTAAATGCTGACACGCCGGAGCTTGCGATGACCATAGCCGGAAGATCCCTTGTCCACCATGGAAATGGCTGGCAAAGGGTTGCGTCGCAAGGAGCGTGTTTTCCTTGGGTCGTGGAAACTTCGGCTGACGCTGCTCAGCCCCCTCCTAACAGCTCCTTTTCCTTTTCTGCAGCTGCCGATTCGATGTCCTGACGTGTGAGCGTGTGAGCGTGGTTTTCAGGCCGCCCTATGGAGTGGACGTTGTTGTGTGCTTCGTGGTCCAGATCAAGTGCTCTTTGCTGTGAGTAAGATGCATCCTGGGTCGCTGGGCAGATTTGGGAGACCCTTCGTTGCCGAAAGTTGTGAAGACAAAACCGCAAAAGCCTTTGCGCCCGCTCTGCCCGGCTGCTCGCGCACGGCAGGACTCTCCCCTTGGCCGTGACCTCTGTGGTTTGAGGACAGGGGGGTGCTGATCTCTTGGCACCCCCTTCCCCTTGGCGCCTGCTGGGCGTAAGGGGCCAGTCTATTCTGGCTGGGTGGGAAAGGCAACTCCAGAGGTGAAAAGGGGCAGATCAACAAAGGCAAACCCGGCCTTTACCAGGGAAGTGAAGGAACATCTCTACACGCCAAGATGAAATATGCAGGAGAATGAGTGAAAGGAATATATGGCCTGGCTCATGACATCCTCTGTCTTGCATTTAAGAGCGCTAAAGAAAAATCAGATGGGAGGGTGGCTCTCCAGATGATTTGTCATTTCACATCATCCCCTGACAGCATGGCTAAGGGCACATAGGAACATCGGGAGCTGCTTTTTGCCTGGTCATCTAACTACATGCTGTCTATGCTCTGGATGGACCTTCATAATATGGCCACCGTTCTCTTCTTTCTCTTTCTCTTTCTCTTTTTTCTCTTTCTCTTTCTCTTTTTTCTCTTTCTCTTTCTCTTAAGGCCTTTCTTTTCTTTTTGTTCTTTCTGCCTTTGTTCTTTTTTCCCAATTAAGTAGCTGTTTTAATTCCGTATATTATAAAAATATACTTTGCTGTGGGTTTGTATTTTTGTATATCTTTGAATAGGTATCTCTAGCTATATCTATCTATCATCTATCTATCTATCATCTATCGATCGATCGATCTATCTACCATCTATCATCATCTATCTATCTTTCTATCTATCTAGGAAATATTGAGCAGAAGAGAAGGGAATAAAAAAATGTTTGATGTTTCTCATCTTTGTCTAGAGGAACATTTCTACTGACATTTTCCTGCCTTTTGCATGCAAATTAAACCGAAGAGTGAAATTAGTGGCTATATTTTACACATTCCATTTCCTTGAGCACTTTAATAGGCTGCAAATATTGGCCCTTAAATTTTCAAGGGGAGGAAGATAATCTTTTGTAATATTGTTGCAGGATATATGAGCATTTCCAGAGCAAGATTATAAAATTTTTAGAAGCAAGGAAGAATTCCACCCCACCGGTTCCTCCGCTAGGGAGCATGATTTATAAGCAAATTTCAAGATTAGTCCCCCTCTCAAGATAATTTCACTTCCTTATTCCTTTCTTGTAAACTGCTGTCTTTTGCAATGATTCACCCATCACGGGAGTGGGGAGGGTGAAGGGATGCCAGGGACGCTGGGGCAGCTAAATCCCATTTGATTCATTTGATTCCTCCAATATGGCGCCCTGTGCAAGCCCCAAATTTGGCTGCCCCAAATGGATCTTCTCCATCACAGATCTGCACAATTCTGTGCCCCCTTGGCTAGGCACCCTGCGCGGAGGAACCACCGGCAACGCCCTAAATCTGATTCTGCTCCATTACTGGCAGTGGCTCTCCAGTCTTATCTGAAGATGCCAAGATTTGAACCTGGGACCGTTTGTGTTCAGAGCGCACGCCTGGCCACTGAGCCGTGCCTCGTCTGGGGTGGTGTTGGCGGCCATAGTGCCCTCGTTTCGGCCTCGCCTCTCGAATCAGGGATGGATAGCAGCTGACCTTCCTCTCCTCTCTGCTTAGGCTCACAGTGCGCATCGCATTTTGTGCTACTATCCGGCTGGCGGTGGTACCTTTGGGGCTGAGCTTCGGCAGCTGCTCTTCAGAGTACGTGGAAGTCAAAGTAGATCCACTGATCAAGTAGGTGATGCTCAACTTCCTTTCCTTGGCAGGGGGACGGGACAGGCGGGGGTCGGTCAAGCACCTCTCTTTCCCACAACCAGGGGAAATGCCCTGAGCCATCAAAGGTGTGTGAGATTCCAGCCAAGTCTATCACCAGATCTAGGAAAGCAGCTTGTTCAGGGGCCACTGTGGAAGGAGATGTGGGTCCAGATCTGGCCTCCACAGTCACTTACGGACTCACTGTTCAAACCGTGTTTATGGAAGACAATCTTCCTCGGCTATGAGGGATCGCCCAAGAAGAAAGACCCAGAAAGGCAAAGGGCTACAGCTTCCATGCAGGGGTGGAGTGCATGGAAATGCTGCCCAGGTGGGGTGTGCAAGGCGGTGTGGTGCGGAGGGAACCGGCTGCAGCAATGGGGCAGGGGCTCACTCCTGCACCCCAGTCCTGGAGAGGGCGCAGCAGTATTGCAACCCAACCCTAAACCACTTTCTGCCAGGGCTGCTGGGCCGGCCGTGAGGAAGCAGGATCAGATCTTCACCCTCCATGCTCTCCAGCACCCCCTGCTGGCAGGGCACAAGGGGGATCTCTGCCGGGGGGCTGGTTCAATTGCAATTATGGGAAGCGATGCATAAATGAAATGAATAATAACAACAGAATATGAAGAAAGGAAAGAGGAGCAGGATTCCAAAGAACCTCTCTGCTAACTTAATTCCTGCTCTCTTTTTTTGTAGTTTGCAGCTGCCAGTAGTGGCGCAAATCCTGGCCCCCGTGCTGGATCCTGTGGTAGGTCTCACAGAGCATTTTATCTCCCCTCTGCTAGCAGCCCCACATCAACAAAGCGGTTCCAAAAAAACAGGAAGCAAATTCAGTTGATCGGAGGCCTCTGCCTCTGCAATGCTCTCTTCAGGGGAATCTGGTGTCTCTTGTGCATCTATGCTTTATTGTTGTTGATTAGTCATGTCCGACTCTTTGTGACCCCCTGGACCAGAGCACGGCAGGCCCTCCTGTCTTCCACTGCCTCCCACAACTTGGTCAAACTCATGCTGGTAGCTTTGAGAACACTGTCCCACCATCTCGTCCTCTGTCGTCCCCTTCTCCTTGTGCCCTCCATCTTTCCCAACATCAGGGTCTTTTCCAGGGAGTCTTCTCTTCTCATGAGGTGGCCAAAGTCTTGGAGCCTCAGCTTCAGGATCTGTCCTTCCAGTGAGCACTCAGGGCTGATTTCCTTCAGAATGGATGCATTTGATCTTCTTGCAGTCCATGGGACTCTCCAGAGTCTCCTCCAGCACCAGAATTCAAAAGCATCCATTCTTCGGCAATCAGCCTTCTTTATGGTCCAGCTCTCACTTCCATACATCACTACTGGGAAAACCATAGCTTTAACTATACGGACCTTTGTCGGCAAGGTGATGTCTCTGCTTTTTAAGATGCTGTCTAGGTTTGTCATTGCATACTATCTGCATGCTATCCCTTGCTTTTCCCTGTAGGACTAATTGCAGTTGTTAACAGTTGTCCACAGGTTCACCATACCCATTGAGTCAATCACCCATCTCCTACTACCCTCCTGAGAAAAACCCCACCCCACCCTCCCACTATATATAAGGGTCTGGTGACTTCTATTTCATGTGACTAATAGGTGGCCATAACTTTCCAGACCTGGTAAAAGCATGCACACGAAAGCTTATTCCCAGAACAAACTTAGTTGGTCTCTAAGGTGCTACTGGAGAATTTTTAAATTTATTTTGAAAAAGTTCACTCACATTTCAGTTCACGATTTGATCCCTGAAAGGCAGGCTTTAGCTAGTAGTTACATCAGAATCTGTGAGTTCATCTCACATGGAGATTGAACTCATGTGCTGCTGGCTGAGAGCCAGCAGACAGCAAAATTACATTAAGAAAACAAAATGGCCGCAGGAGAGCAGCATTGCAGTAAGAGATCAGCTAGCAAGAGAGCAGGTGAATGTGTGAGAGAGAAAGCTTAAGATGGCTGCATGACTCGGCTCTTTTATGGAGTCAGCCAGGGCTGTGCCCATCTCCCAGGTCACACGCAGAGGGAGGACACTCCAGACCAGTGGAACAGGAAGTTTGACTGGCTGGACGGTCATCCCCTGTATGTCCACTCTAGCAATACAGGTAATGTTGTACTTGACTGCTCCACTGGATCACATCCCACATCTAGGAGGTCCCCAAAAGAGTGGGGCATGAAGGCACCTGCTTGATCCCAAGAGACAAGGAGTTCCAAGTTTCTGACCCACTGGACCTTCTCTTTTCCTGCAGGTTTGTAGCCATGCCCCGAAGATGATCACGCAACTGAACATCGTCCTTAATCTCCAACTTCGTAAGCATTAATGGGGTGCACCGCTGGTTTACTTAAAAGACTCACGAGTCACTTTGATATTTTAAAAAAATCCCAAAGTGGTACGCAAAAGAATAGAATGTCTACAGCAGGCACAATAAGATGATATTTATCCAGAAAGCTCTACACCTTCACAGTAACCCAGTGATGGCCAGACTTGGCCACTGTGGTAACCAATAACGTAGCTGAACTCTGCTCTGAAAATGAACGCAAACGGGTTTTGGCCGACGCAGAGGACACAAAACGGCATTAGGAATGAGGTCACCAGGGAGGAGGCTAAAGCTGATGGTCTAAGGGTCAAAAATGAAGTCTAGCGTTAAATAGGTCTTTGGTTCCCAGTCCTGGGATTCTCCTTTTTTTGTTTTTGAAGAAGAGGATTTGAGAGGCAAAAGTTTCATTTGGATTTTTGGGGGTGGGGTGAAAGTCCCTATTCTTCAGAACTCCCTGCCTATCATGTACTTCTAGCCCAGAGGTTGGTACCGCCTCTTGCCCTTTAGTCTCAGTGCTGTCCCTTGCAGAACTCAGCGGGGGGCAAGATGGAGACCAGACCGTGTTGCCTCTGCCTGACATTGGCTCTCTGGCTCCACCTACTGCCCGACTCCTGGCCTCCTGCCCCATCAATCCCAAGAGCTGCCAGCCATCCCTGCTTGGGCTACTGTTCTGCTGTGCTTTGTGGTCCAGCTTTGGAAAACTCCTGATCTTTCTCCCCCAGAGCCAACGCCGTTCTTCACAGGCTGCCAGTACATCTGCACAAGGCCCTATCCGCCTCAACTCACCTCCGGCTACTTGGATTTCCCTTTTGTGGTGAGTGGATTCATCTTCTAGGATGCTTGTTACAGGCTCAGAGGGGGTCAGTCTGAATAAAGGATGCAGGGAGGGAGGGCTAGAATTAGGGCCGGGCGATATTTCAAGATTGTGATATATCACCAGCTAAACATTGCAATATACTGATAAATCACTATGCCTGAAATAAGGATCAGGCTATGTACAGGCATACGTGGATGGCGCTGTGGGTTAAACCACAGAGCCTAGGACTTGTCGATTGGAAGGTCGGTGGTTCGAATCCCTGTTACGGGGGTGAGCTCCTGTTGCTCAGTCCCTGCTCCTGCCCACCTAGCAGTTCAAAAGCACGTCAAAGTGCAAGTAGATAAATAGGTCCCCCTCCAGCGGGAAGGTAAACGGCGTTTCCGTGTGCTCCTCTGGTTCGCCAGAAGAGACTTAGTCATGCTGGCCACATGACCTGGAAGCTGTACACCGGCTCCCTCGGCCAGTAAAGCGAGATGAGCACCGCAACCCCAGAGTCGGCCACGACTGGACCTAATGGTCAGGGGTCCCTTTACCTTTTATGTACAGGCATTGGCTGGCTTCACAGTTTTCCCCACATGGTGATTTTTGCACAGCGCACACAGATTCACAATATATTGGCACATCAGAAATTATGAAACCAATATCACAATATGGACTTCAAACCAGTTTGGGATGATACATCACCCAGAGCTAAGACACATCATGATTCACGATAAACTGCCAGGCCAAAAATTATGGAGCCGACATCACAATATGGACTTCAAACTGGTTTTGGATTATATATTGATATATCGCCCAGCCCTAGTTAGAACCAGAGGATTCTATTGCGGAACTGGTCTTTGCGGGACAAGGACCTTTGCTGCCAATCAAGCGTCCCCAAAGCATTCCAAAGGAATGAGCCAGGTTGGAAGAGCCACAACTAATGCTGTGAGCTGCTCCATCTTGGACTCATATGAATGAAAATAAAGCCATAAAGCCACTGAACTTTTCTCCAAGGAAACTGAACCCGGGCAAGCGTTGCAGGGGGTTGGACTTGATGACCTTTGGGTTCCCTTCCAACGCCACAATTCTATGATTCTATGAAGCACCTGGAACCCCCTGGAGTCTCTTCCCACTAGGAGATTGGGGTGGCGCGTACCAATATAATAGGGTCACCTCCTTGTTGCTGCAGAGGCTGGAACTGTCTTGCTCATAGAATTGTAGTGGGAAGGGACCCCATAGCTAAGGGGGCCATGGCCCCGGGCACAAATTTATGAGGGGGTGCAACCAGGCACCCCCGTGAGAGGATTCCTCATTGAGGCCGGAGTTGCGGGGTGGCAAGCTGTGCCCAGGCTGGACCTTCGTGGCTGGAGCAACGCGTTGGCCTCCTTCTCGTGGCTGGGAACGCAAGCCCCGCCCCTGGGTTGGCGGAGAGGGAGGGATAGGGAGGGTGCCCCCACTGCCGCTGCCACACACTGAGGGAGGAGGGGTGGAGGAAGAGGAAGGTGGGAAACCACTGCCGGAGCCGGTTGCCCAGAGCACCTCGCTGCAAGGACATGAGGGCGAGGCGACACAGCGGGTCTCCCGGCTTTGTGTTTCTCTGCATTATCTCTGCTCTAGCCCCCGTCTCCCAGGTTGGGGCTACTTTGCAAGAAAGACTCCCTTGATTAGACACTGGCCGGTGAAGGGACTGACTAGTCCACCAGGGGGCTGCAACACCTGCCCCATCCCGGGTGCCAGCAACCCACGCTATGCTCCTGCCCCAAGGATCATTTAGTTCAACCGGCTGCAGCGCAGGAGTCTCAGCTTGCTGCTCTCTGGGCTGGCAGTTCCTTTAGCAGTTGGCGCTCTGACCTTCCCACCTGCTTTCTGAAAGGCCGCTGGACCTGCCTTGGGTCATTTTCCAGGGACTTTCCTGTTGCCTCCAGATCTTATGTTCAGGCGCAGGCTGACTCATGGCGACTGTGCTGGTCCCGTGGGTTACCCAAGAGGCGAGGTCCAAGTCCGGTCCATGGTCAGAGGTGCAACATGGAGACAGTCCATAGTAGCTAAAGCTGGGTGCAGGGCAAGGAGTCAGGTGAAGTCAGGAACAGGCATGGAAGCCGGGAGCAAGGGTGGGTCAGGAGCTCAGGCAGGAAAGCAGGACAGGGTTCAAGCAGGAACTAGCAACCAACAATGTTGCTCCCACAACTTGGGACTGGCTGGCTGGCTTTTATCTGTCCTGAGGCATAGGGCGGCCCCGATCCTCTGGTGACTCGCCTCTCGTGGCCTGGAGGTGAGCACTCCTCCTGCAGGAACTTAGTTCCCTCCGCCTCTCTGCCCTGAGCCTCTGCAGCTCTGGAGAGGCTGGAGGCTTACTGGACCCAGAGGCTTCCCCTGGCAGGGCTGAGAGTGGAGCACCTGCAGGCAATGGGTCCTCCATCACCCCAGGAGCCAGAGCAGACTCAGCTGGTGCCTGCAGCTGAGGATCCAGCACAGGTGAGGACCCTTCAGGCTCATGCCCCAGCCCTGGCTCAGCTGGTTCTGGAGGTGGGGAATCCTGTGCAGGCTGGGATCCCTCAGGTTCAGCCTCCGAGTCCGAATCCCAGGCCATCACAGCGACTGCAGTTGGGTCCCACTGAATTTCCCCCCTCTTGTTCTCCTTGCAGCCTCAAATGTCCTGCGGAGGAGCTGTGGTTCCCTGGCCCAACTATCCCATCTACTACCCGCCAGCCACCCTCGTCCCTGACGGACACATCTGTTATTTTTTGAACGAAGCTGACACAGGCCACATCTTTTCAACTTTGATGGCAAGAGAATTGTTCAACCTTGAGCTCACCCAGGTGAGTTCTGCACAGTGAGGGCCCTTTCCCTGGGCAATTGACAACAAGCTGGAGGCAGTGGGCGCCGATTTTTTTGGGGAGCCCACTGCCCCCTTGATTCCATAAGCTCACCCCCAGTGCCCCCTAACTTTACCCTATTAAAAAAGCATCATTCAGAGCAGCGGTTTGCACAACCTGCCCAGGAAGAGAATAACACAATAAAATCCAAACCAGTAACAATTAATTGCACATTTATCCACAATCCAATTTATTTGTTCGTTTACCTTAATTAATGCAGCCGAGGTGATCAGCTTGATCCAGGGCTACCAGCTTTTCAAAGTCTGGAAGTCATTGACACCTTCAGTGCCCTTTTGCCCCTTTGCCTCTTAGTGCCCCCCCCCCCAAATCCTACTGCCCCCCCCAAGTTGCTTCCACCACCTTTAGGAAGCACTGAGTCAGAGGGTCAACACCAGAAATATTTTTGCCCCGCTCAGTGAAATATGAAGCCTGTGCAAAGATGGCAGCTTGATCCGATTCAGCTGAAGCCCTGGGATTCAGAGATTCAGGGACCAGTTTGTTTATCTGGGCAATTAATTCTCTGCTTCATACTGCTTAAAGTAAGGATAGTAGGAAAGGCTATAATGATTAAGTATTATTCTTCCTTCCCCTCAATACAGCAAGAAACTAGTTTGCAGATTTGTTTGAATCTCTTTAGTTAAACAATCCAATTTGGCTTGCTCAGAGGGATAATTCCTGGTGTCGCCTTTTATCCTTCTTAAAATAATAAAGACACAAGAGTCTTTCCTTAAAAGTAGCAAGAAGTTTACTAGAGTCAGGTACGTAGCCTTGTTGGTCTGATGCAGTCGAAATAAATTAAAAAATTAAAAAAATTCTCCAGTAGCACCTTTGAGACCAGCTAAGTTTGTTCTGGGTATAAGCTTTTGTCTGCATGCACACTTCTTCTAAGCTTTTGTCTGCATGCACACTTCTTCAGGTAAACTGAAACAGAAGTCACCAGACCCTTATATATAGTGGGAGGGTGGGGTTTTTCTCAGGAGGGTAGTAGGAGATGGGTGATTGACTCAATTGACTCAATTTGACTTCTCAAAAGGATTACATCCCACACAAACACTCTCCGCTTTTCACATCTGGATCTCAAAGCAGATATGTGTTTTTTTAGAAAAATGGGGAAATCTACAGAAAAGAACAACTACAATTAAAACCCCACATTTTAAAAACCCCAGAACAATTAGCCACGATCCCCTTAGGGCAGTTCTACACTTGCCATTGATAACGTTAAAAATGTGTTATTAAAATGTGACACCAGAGGCTGCTGCAGAGCAGAGAGCCACCGACAATGGGAAACTGCCATTCAGCGTTCTAAACGTTATTTAAAAATAACGTTCTGTAAGATCAATGTAGATCCAGCCCCTGCCATAAATATAAGGGTAGTATCCGGTGCCATTTGCAACAGGACACCCGTTTCTTCTTCTCCTCTCTGTGGCTTCGCACAACCTCAAGCCTCAGTTTAAGTATCCAGGGAGACATCCTTTCAGACAGCGTGTCTCCTTTCCCCCCCAATTTTTTTTATTGATTTTCCAAATTTATAACAAACATAAACAAAAAAGAAAAAAAATACATATAAAAAACCAAACAAACATACAAACATTCATCCTAACTATTATACTCCCACTTTTATTACCACTGTTAGTTGACTTCTTCAAATCCCTCTAGCTGATTTTCCATATATTTCATTACAGCACTTTTCCAATAAAATTAACTTAATCAATTAACATCTTTCTTTCTTATCATATTCTATCCATAGTGTCATATTCTATCCATCATATTCTATCCATAGTGTCATACAATTTAAAACATTTAACTCCCAAGCCAATTTGGTACTCACAAATATTACTACTTATATTATCTTAGAATATTTTACTAAATAATCCTTAAACTTCTTTTAATTTAAGAAATCTCCTGGGTGACTCTTTGAACAGAGCCCAGCATTGGGGGGGGGACGGGACCATGGCAGAACATTATAATCAAGATGTATTTTCTTTCCACAGTCGACTGTGACCACCACTTTAATAATGAGCCGCATCCCTGAGGTACGTGATCCTCCTTGGCTGTGAGATGGGTGTGTCAGGGGACGGGGAGATTTTCAGAGATTTGTTCATGGGCCAGCAGGGTGGATAAATGGCTTCTTGACTCCCCTGCGTGTGAGCGACGGACACATTTTGGGAGCGATAACGACCACTTTGGAAACACCCCTCAACAAGTTCAGGACAACGATACCCTTTTCCTCTCCCCAGGAGAAGCTCTGGAAACCAGCCTTGCAAGTTTGCAGCTTGGTTCAGCTGATGCTGCGCAGCGGGAACCGATTGGCTAGCGCTTGTGTTGTCGCCAGCACATCTCTCCGCTCTGTCTATGGAGCAGTTTTGCCGCTGTTTTCAGGGGCTTCAATGGGGACAGGAAGGACTGCCAGCTGAATCAGGATTTGCCGGTCTGTCACACAAACTGTGAAGCCAGCTCCGACTGAAAGTGAAGAATCCTCTGGGCTGGCTTTTTCAAAAGCATTTTATTGTTTTCCCACGTAAGAGAAACACAATTTAAAATACAATAAACAGCAGCAGCTTATAGCTGGAATCGCTGCTTAGAACAAGTTTGTGATGCATATTGAAATCTCTCCGATAAGTCTCTCCAGATGTTTCTGTGGGTCTGGGGAGGTTGTCTCGGTTGATTGTCCCATCTCATATGGTGAGATATTGCCTCTGGCCTCCCTGAGCTGGCAGGTCAGTTTCTCGACCAGAGCAACAGGGCCACACCTGAGCATGCCACGAATCTTATCGACAGGCCTGCTGCAGAAAACCAATGTTTAGCAATTTCTAAACAAAAACGCCAGCATCTCCTGGTGAGATAAGTTGATTTCATAGAATTATAGAGCGGTGGAGTTAGAAGGGACACCCAGGGTCATTGTATATTATTGAAATTGTATATTATGTCCTACATCTTGCGCCCATTTAATCAGTACTGATTTTACTTCTTCATCTTTGGTCTCCCATTCCAAAAGGATATTATACGCCTTTTAAAAATAATTTTGTGTTTTCTTCTATCACTTCCTTTTGGAAGTTGGAAGCCAACTATGAGAAGCCTTTTTAGTTATCCTCCTTAAATATATCCTGTAATTGTCTATGATGTAACCAGCTTTGAAGATGTTCTTTTATTTCATCATATTCTTTCAGTTTTAACTTCCCCTCTTGTTCCACCATAGAGTTCTCTCTATGTTGACCACTCTCCTTTCCCCTCCCCCCCAATATTTTAAGTGATAGTGCTTCGATAGGTGATAGCCACCATGGTGTTTTGGGTTCTAATAAATCTTTGTATTTCTCCCATACTTTAAACAGTGATCTTCTTATTAAATGATTGTGGAATCCTTTATGCACTTTTGCTTTTCCATACCAGAGGTAGGCATGCCATCCAAATCTATTATCATGTCCAGGAATCTCAGCTTAAAGCATCCCTGACAGATGGCCACCCAGCCTCTGCCTGGAAACCTGCAAAGAGGGAGAGTTCACCAGATCCCAAGAGAGTCTGTTCCACTGTCCAACAGCTCTTCCTGTCAGAAAGCGCTTCCTGGGGTTTAGCGGGAAAATTAGAGCAAATTATATAGCCAAGGTAGCCACCAACTGTAAAGGAGATGAATTTATTTGACCCTATCTACATCAAGCTATATTCTATCTTTATCACCAAACTCCGAATATAATTGCACATTGTATTAATTAACATTATTTTTAATATATTAGTGGCCATGTGATAATCTTAGCTTACAAATTTTATTGTTTAATGTCTTAATTTGTATAGTAAGGTACTTTTATAGCTCTGTTTAGAGTAGGTAATGTCTTGATAATATAAATGTTTTAAGTATCAATTCAGTATATTTTCTTTTAATTGTTGAATGATTCTGTGTACATTGCGGCAGCCTTTGGCTATGTGCAATAAAACTGACTGACTGACTGACAGCTCCTTAAATACCAAATTGGTCTTCCCTCTAAAAGATAACTTCCATAACACCTTACGTTAAAAACCTGACAGTACCAAATGATCGAAGGTTATTCACCAAAGCCAGAATAAACATCTTTCCTTCTACAGTGTTGGATGGCAGGTTGAGAGGAGTTCCCTACCAGGACAGACTTTGCTCGTGTGCTCAAGACATCGATTCCATAAAACATATTTTGTTGCACTGTGCAAAATATGAGCAAGCCAGGGCTGAACTGATATTACCCTTGCTGGTACCTTTCCCGGGAAAATCAGAGGCTCACTATGTCAGGTTCCTATTGGAAGACCGGACAAATGCTAGAACATTAGTCTGGGCAAAAATCGGTGGTTGCAAGAACCAAGGATCCCTATCTTTAAGTTGGAACAAAATGCTTGTTTAACCTGGAGGTAGACTGTCTGACTTGTGCATTGCTTTGCTGGGTCTCTGGACGGTAATATGGACTGATTGATTGATTGATTGATTGATTGATTGATAACTTCCACCCCACTGATGACGTGCGCCAGAGCCAGGATAGATGATCCTGAGAGATCACATCTACCCTCTTCTCCCACAGATTGACTGTCCAGCGGATCTTTCTTCTTTGCTGAAGTTCTCGTGCACAAGCCTCTCCATCCAGTTTACTGCTAACGCTGTCATTCTTGATGCTGAGCTGCGTATCAATATTGGCTATTTCCAGTCAGAGTTTGTTGGCCTCCTTCAAGCCACAGCGGTAAGTAAAAGCACCAGGCAAATGACCCTTCAGGAACTCAGAATCAGGGGTGGAATTTTCTGAAAACCTCGATGAAGATTTTATCTACACCTATTTCCCTCCCCAATTCTTGTTTTGCTCCTTGGTCTCAACAAGAAGTGCGTCTCCCCCGATCTCCCCACCCTGCTGTACCGAAAAGATGAACTATTAGGAACACGTGCTCTCTAGGTTCCTAAAAGCAACCAGCACGCAGCTATAAATGAAAGGCAATAAATGGGTGAAAGACGAGCCACTCCTCTGTGCAACCTGAGCTTAGCGTTTAATTTTGCACATGCTTATTTCGCTTTATGGGATGCGGGTGGCTCTGTTAAACCACAGAGCCTAGGGCTTGCCGATAAGAAGGTTGGCGGTTCGAATCCCCACGACGGGGTGAGCTCCTGTTGCTCGGTCCCTGCTCCTGCCAACCTAGCAGTTCGAAAGCACGTCATTCTTCCATCCTAAAAAAACCCCGGATTCCTCTCAATCTCCCCTGCCCCTCGGTTTGACTTTGATGCCCTTTGCATCCCAATTTCAGAGAGTGAGAATAATTCTCCGCCCGGCCATTGACTGCCAAAGAGGACTGCTGCTGTTGTCGGCGGATCTAATAAGGTAATGCATGCAAGGACCCGTCCCCTGCTTTGGATTAGATCCCTTGGGACCGTGGATGGAGGCCCTCGTGGGCAGCTGTGGTGGGCTTGGGGCAGAGAGCGTTGTTTGTGGGCACCCGTGACGCTTCTTCCTCCCTGCACACAACCTGACTTTTCCTGGCTCTGGAAAGGTCCCCAGATGTTGGAGAGGCCTGTCTCAGAAAGCAGGGATGCAGGGCTGAGGCTGTGAATGCAAGGAAGGAAAGAGGCCATATAGATTGAAAGTTGCAAAGAGACCTGGGGCTGGCTTGGGATTGAAAGCTGGGGAATGGATGGGGAGGGGATGGGTGGCTCTGCCTCGCATCACAGCGGCTCATTCCTCTCTCCCCAGCAACCTCCAGATTACAGCTGCTTGCAGCGGGAGCCCTTGCACAGTTGATGTAAGTATCAGGTGATTTAATGGGGGCAGCGGGGCTCGTGGGTGGAGCTGACCTCACTCAGCCCTTCCCCCCCTCCAACCTTTAGTCAGGCAAAATCAACATCTCATGAATTTTTGCCCAGGCCATTGTAGGGCATATCGACCACACAGATTTTTTTTTATAAGATATTTATTAAGATTTTTTAAAATATTACAATAAAAGTAAAAAAAAATAACAAAAATACAAAATAAAAATAGTTAAAAACACATAGATTTTCCATTACTTATTTTCCTTTAGCTTGTTTCCTGGACCTCCTCATACCTCCCTTTTTTGTATTCCACTTCAATCTGTTGGTTCAGCAAATCCTTACCCTCTTTAATTATCCTAATCTTTGATCTTAAAAGTAATAGCATTAGCTTTTTACCTATTTATAACCCTTTTTTCATATTCCCTTAAAGCATTACAGCTGGAAACCACTTAATTACTATCCAACATCATTCTAATATTCATTAATTTTACAATATTTCTGTAGATAATCTTTTGAATTTCTTCCAATCTTCTTCCACCGACTCTTCTCCCTGGTCTCGGATTCTGCCAGTCATTTCTGCAAGTTCCATATAGTCCATCAGCTTCATCATCCATCAGATTTTAAACCGAGTGACACATCTCTTCCCTCTCTCTAGGGAATTGGGGCCCTGTGGTTTTGAGGGTGGCAGGGACCTCTAGCAGAGACCCCCCAGCCTTGACACCCAACTACAATTCCCATGATTCCTCGAGGGGAAGCCATGACAGAGTGGAACTGGTGTTGAAGCGATGCTGGTTGCAATGCAGAGAATACGCTCCCGCCTTGCATCTTGCAGTTTCTGGGCTCGATGGTTCTCCCCGTGGTCTTCCTTGGGGTCTTCACGCCTCTAAAATTACTAGCATTTGTCGAAGCCCCCAACTCTTGATCTATGCCATTCAGGGCTCTGCCCAGTATACCTGAAGGAGCGTCTCCACCCCCATCATTCAGCCTGGACACTGAGGTCCAGCGCCGAGGGCCTTCTGGCGGTTCCCTCCCTGCAAGAAGCCAACTTACAGGGAACCAGGCAGAGGGCCTTCTCGGTAGCGGCACCCGCCCTGTGGAACACCCTCCCACCAGATGTCAAAGAGAACAACTACCAGACTTTTAGAAGACATCTGAAGGCAGCCCTGTTTAGGGAAGCTTTTAATGTTTCTTAATTTTTGTTGGAAGCCGCACAGAGTGGCTGGGGAAACGCAGACAGATGGGCAGGGTACAAATAATAAATTATTATTATTATCCAACACACCCTGGGAGAAGTGCTACTTACCTACCTTTCCCCCAGTCTCCTTCCAGTTGCTTTGAAAGGGACCCCAAAAGGCATCTAGTCCACCCCTTTGGCCCAAAGGCTGGTGGTCTCCGACTCACCCTGCTGCCCCACTCCCTTTCTTCCCTATACGGAAAGCAAGTGCAAATGCAGGAAAGGTGCGACGCCTCAGAAGGTGGCCCTATTCTCCTTCATTTGGAGGCTGCATGGCCATGCGTCATGGATTCTTTAGACGTGGTTCCTGCACTGCAGCGGGTTGGACTACATGACCCTCAGGGACCCCTTCGAAGTCCACAGCTCCATGATTCCCATCTGCCTCTCTCTTGACGCGTGGAGGGTTTTCTTTTCGCAGGGCTCCGTGATAGAGGAACTGTTTCCGATAAGGACACACTGCCAGGACTTATTCAACGGTGAGTGTTGCTCAGGGGCGCGTTTTGCTGACACGGCTGGTGAGATTTGCACTGGCTCAAGCATCTCCTTCCGACTTCGCCGCAGTGAAATCTAGGGGATGGTCGGTTTAAAGGTTCCAGCATTCAGGGACACTTGACATGAATGTCGGGGGCCCCCCCAATCCTCACTTGCCCCCAAATGGAAAGCCTTGTGAGACTGGCTTGACTGGTGGGTAAAAAAATAAATAAAAAGCATAGCAGAAAAAATAACTCAAATATTATGTGTTGCCAAAGGCTTGGAGGACTCTAAAAAACCCAAGCTGTTTGGTCAGGACTCCCTCTCTGCAGTATATAGTGGAGTTTGGCTTTCCTAATGGTCTTAAGCTGTCTACCAACCTAACAATAAGTCTTTCCCAGATATACCATGTTGCTTTTTTTGCCCTTCTATTATTTTTGATGCCTTGGTTTCTTTAATTTATTTCACCCACCTTCCTCATCCCTTTGGTGGTACAGGAAAAACAACTTACTGCTTAACTTAAAGAAAACAAAAGAGATAATTGTGGACTTTAGGAAATGTAAATTGAATATTCAGCCACTTATTATTGAGGGGAAGTGCGTGGAACAGGTCTTGGTGTTTCGATTTCTGGAAATGGAGTTGAGAGATGACCTAACCTGGGGAGAAAACAGCAAAGACCTGATGAAGAGAGCACAGCAGAGGTTATATTTTCTGAGAATCCTCCGGAAAAACAATCTCTCAAAGGACCTGTTGATGGCATTTTACCATTGTACTGTGGAGAGTGTATTAACTTATGGTCTCTGTGTGTGGTTTGGGAGCTGCACGGTCTGGGGAAAAACAATGCTGTCCAGGGTTGTAAAGACTGCAGAGAGAATAATTGGGTGCACTCTTCCCACCTTGGATCAAATCTACGCTTCCAGGTGCCATAAGAAAGCTGCAGAGATAGCGCAGGATAGTGTACACCCTGGAAATGATCTCTTTCAGCTTCTGCCTTCTGGAAGAAGGTCCAGGGTTATAAAGACTAGGACTAGCCACCTGAGAAACAGTTTCTACTCAAATGCAATTCTGGTTCTAAACACAGCATAAGGAGTCTCTATAGTATATTGTATTTTAAAATGGGGTTTCAGAGTTTTTTGGGGGTTTTGAATGTCTTATGTAGATTTTCAATTTCCTTGTTCTGTATGGGACAATGACAATAAAGATATTGTATCGTATCGTAAGTGCTCCAAGGCAAAAATGCCAGGGGTATCAGTCTTTGGCTCTTGCGATGTGGGCACAGCCATAACTGCATAATAATTTTTTTATTCCCCATCTTCTCCTGCAGAGAGGCTGAGAGGCGGAATCCCATGGCCTTTCCCCATAAACTGTGCCTGTTCCTCCTGCCGTGACGTCATTGTTATCCCGGTGAGAAGAGAGACTTTAATTTGTATGCCAGTGTTGGGTGGGAGTGCCTAAATCTGTGTTTGGGGAGAGAATGGGGGACGTAAGAAATGGGGGAATTGGGAAATAATGCGGGGGGGGCACTGTGTTCCATAATCCCTCTTCTGTATTCGTAAGAACTTGATCATTTAGTGTGGCAGCAGCTACCCTTTGGAACTCCCTGCGTCTTGATGTTGAGCTTAGAAACGCTTGTGTGAATTTTATTCTGTTTTGGTATTTTAACTCCAGCTCTGGAGGCGGATCAGAGCCATTCTGGCTAGTAGCCATGAGAACGGGGGGAGTCTGGGGTGAGGAAGGTCTTCCTTTTGGCAATAGCTTGACTTCCACCAAGGATCTCTTTAGCTGCCCCTGACGGGCTCCCGCTTCAACCCATCCCGCTTTTCACTTCCCATAGTAAAGTTTCATTTCATTTATCTCCCTCCTACTGTGTCCCGAGGGACGCGGGTGGCGCTGTGGGTTAAACCACAGAGACTAGGGCTTGCTGATCAGAAGGCCGGCGGTTCGAATCCCTGCGACGGGGTGAGCTCCCGTTGCCCGGTCCCTGCTCCTGCCAACCTAGCAGTTCGAAAGCACGTAATGCAAGTAGATAAATAGGTATCGCTCCGGCGGGAAGGTAAACGGCATTTCTGTGCGCTGCTCTGGTTCGCCAGAAGTGGCTTAGTCATGCTGGCCACATGACACGGAAGCTGTACGCTGGCTCCCTCGGCCAGTAAAGCGAGATGAGCGCCGCAACCCCAGAGTCGGCCACAACTGGACCTAATGGTTAGGGGTCCCTTTACCTTTACTGTGTCCTGAAAGGGTCCCTGTTTGCCAGGATTCCTTCCGTTGCCACCTCCCCCCCCCCCATGGCCCCGTTCATTCCAAAAGGGCCTGTGCAGGAGAACTTCCCAAAGGAATTGTGCCCCGAGTTTATTATTTCATAAAAGTTATATACCCCCTTTGATTGGGAAAGGAAAACCTCAAGGGGCCTTGCAAAAAAGAGGAAAAAAAATGTGTACAAGGTATTTGTAACAATGCAAGAAATATAATTGTACAAGGAAAATGTATACGGAAAGTTTAATTACTGAAACAGCTTAAAAGTCCCACCAGCTTTCTAAGCACCTGGATGGGCTTGTCTAAAGAAGAATGTTTTTAGCAGATGCAAAAAAGAGTCCTGCCACTTTGATGTCCACAGGTCGGGAGTTCCAAAGTTTGGATGCTGCCACACTAAATGATGGAGTTCTTACAAAGGCGACACGGGTGTTAACGTAATGTAGGGGCCCCAATTCCCCTTCCCCAGAGTGCATGTGTCCACTGTTTGGGTTTTCTGCCTCAGGTGCCAGAATTTACACGGGCCTGAGTTGAAGAGGGTGGAATCCAGTGGCAAAATGGGAGGTTCATCATTCTCACCCAATCTCTCCTGGCCCTTTTTTTTAAAACAGAAATTTGCCATGTGGTGCTGCAACCTGAACTACCTGCCCTGATAACCTCGGGTGGCTGGAGAAGACCCTTCGACGGAAGCCAGAGCGGTCCCTTTGCTTCGCTCAGAAGGAGAAAAGGAGGGGAAACCGGGGTGGTTGATTTCTCTATGTTCTCTGTAGTGGGATGGGGTCAATCATGCACAGGGGTGTATCTTCAATTGTGCACATCTTTAGATCTTGCAATCAGGGCTTTTTTCAGCTGGAACTCACTTGGGTGCCATTCTAAGAGAGCAAGGGAGGCGTTTGTGGTGAGTTCTGGCACCTATTTTTCTAGAAAAATAGCAGTGCTTTTTCTGCTTAAGGGCAGTTTTCAGGGGTGATTTTAAGTGCTAAAGGGTGAGAAGAAAGTTGTTTCATTAAAGAATCTTCGGGCTGCATTCCTGAGTTGTGGCGTTTGATATTTCTTTATTTAATAGCTTTGTCAAATTTATGCACCGTTTGATTCAACAAACAAACAAACAAACAAACACACACACACACACCTCAAAGCGGTTTACAAAAAGGTGAAATGACAAAATCAGGAATAATCTGCAATACTTTAAAACGTGCAGGGAGTTAAAATGCTAAAACACATTAAAACTTGCACCAACTTTCTAAGCCTCTGGACAGGTTTGTGTGAACTAGAACACTTTCGGCAGATACAGAAAAGAATATGGCAAAAACAGCTGCTTGGCCTCAAGAGGCAGAGAATTCCAAAGTTGAGACGCTATCGCACTAAATGATCAAATTCTCAGCTAGCTCCTCATTGCTTGAGATATTCGCAGCTAACCAAGGCTGTGCTTTGCACATAGTTCAGGTCCACATATGCAAATAAGGGATCGAAAGTAACATTCAGTGATTGGATAGTTACAGAAAATGGTTACTGTTGCGTTCTAGTGGAGCTCTATATGATCAGGCTGGCTGAAGCCTTCAGTTCAGTTCTGTTCTGGCCTGTGAATAAGCAAGAGCTGTTTGAAGAATCACGGTGTTGTCTGATATGTTCACCCACTACTTAACACTGGCGACGAAGGTGGGATCGATGGACAACAGAGCACAGCCAGATGCGGCCGCATCACTGAGCTGAAACACTGAGCGAAATCACTGAACGTCACTTTCGATCCCTTATTTGCATATGTGGACCTGAACTATTTACAGTATCCCCCTGCTGGCCCAGGGTGAGAACTTCAGTACATAACAGGTGCATTGCTTACATGTTAGTTCGGGGGTTTCCAATCTTTGGGGGACAATGGTCCCATATGGAATTTGAAGGAAGTGCAATGGGCATCCGTCACAAAATGCCATGATGTGTGTGTGTGGCACAATGCAAAATGGAAGCCACGGCTAAAAGAGACAGGACCATGAGATGGTGCGGGCAACCCCCAATCAATCGATGTGGAAAAGGTGCCTGTGCGTGTTAGCAAAGTCACTTAAATAATGCAGATGGAGTCCAGAGAGAAATAAATCCAGATAGCACTTTACTGACTAGCCTGAACAAAAACAGTGTATAATGTGAGGGGAAAGAAACAGAGGCTTTGTATTTCTTGGCCCCTAGGCATTGGCTCCTATGGTGAGTTCCCAAACATTTCCTTAAAAAGTTTCTTTCCAAAGTTTCTCTCTTCCCCCAGCATGGGAAAAGGACTATTAGTAAAAAATAAATAAAAACGTTTACTTGAAAACTCTTCAAAAGTCAGATTGGTGTCCTTCAGAAAGTTGCCCAGGCAGTAAAACTTTGCTTAGTTACAAAGTGGGGAAAGTTCCTAAATTGCTGGTATAAGATCTCAGGAGTGGCTGGTAAGAGCCATGCGGTCTGAGCAGCCAGCTGAAACCGCTTCCTACCCTCCAGAGCAGGAGAAAACAAGCTTGCCCCATCCTCTTTGGGATGGCCCATGGCACCATTGGCCCATTGCAGAACACGCCCACAAAACCCCCACAGATCGGGAGGGGCCCAGGCAATGGCTGTGGGCTGATGGGACTTGTAGTTCCCGGAGGGCGCCATGTTGGCGGAGGCTGGTTTAGACGACTGCAGTGCTCTTGCTGCCACTTTCTGCACTCCGACTGACTCAGTTTAGTGCCAGTTCCCCACGGGCTCCTCTTCCCTTTGATGCCAACTTAGCAGACGGCACATTAGAAGAGCTCCTTTTGCTCAGAGACTAAAAGCGTGGAGGACGCTTTGATGTCAGAGGAATTACGATCAAAGCTCCCGCCGCTGCCACAATGCAGCTGGCTCTGCAAGCGAGGAGGAAACAAAGAGGCCGCTAAGTGCACTCTGGTTATATTCCGATCGGGAGTGAGGAACTGATGAGTGGAGGAGACCCCACAGAGACGCAAGGCCTGGCACTCGCTTTGATTGTCGCCCGGGGACTCGAAACCCAAAGCGCTTTCCGGAAGAGGCTGGTCCGTGAGGGTGGGGCACTGCCTGACCAACCCCAGTATTTCCTAGGGGTGTGAAGGCCTGGAAGAAGGATCAAAAAGTTGGGGGCGGGGAGAAACCACCCCAATTCCACCCCCTTTTACTCCCTGTTTGTTTCTGAAGATTTGGGGAAATAACAGAAAAGTGAGGAGGGGTGACCTCATTTTTCAGATAATTTTTTCTCTCCAAAAATTGCACATTTCCGATTTTCTCTCAGCCAGCCCCGACTTTGCTGACTTCTGACTTAGAAGCAGCCTAGCCCAGGGGGTGGCACTGCCAGAGAGCTTCCTCTGGGTCCTTGGCCTCAGGTTTTGCCCTTGCAGAACTCATCAGGCAGGAGGATGGAGGTAAAAATGGACTGTGTGTGTGTGTGTGTGTGTGTGTGCAGCAGCAGCAGCAATTTTATTATTTATACCCTGCCCATCTGGCTGGGTTTCCCCAGCTACACTGGGCGGCTCCCAACAGAATATTAAAGGTATAGGTAAAGGGACCCCTGACCGTTAGGTCCAGTCGCAAACGACTCTGGGGTTGCAGCGCTCATCTTGCTTTACTGGCCGAGGGAGCCGGAGTTTGTCCACAGACAGCTTCTGGGTCATGTGGCCAGCAGGACTAAGCCGCTTCTGGCGAGCCAGAGCAGCTCACGGAAACGCCGTTTACCTTCCTGCTGGAGTGGTACCTATTTATCTACTTGCACTTTGACGAGTTGGGACCAAACAACGGGAGCTCACCCCGTCTCAGGTATTCCAACCGCTGACCTTCTGATCGGCACGCCCTAGGCCACAGCACCACCCACGTTCCGTAACAGAATATTAAAAACACACTAAAGCATCAAACATTAAAAACTTCCCTAAACAGGGCTGCCTTCAGATGTCTTCTAAAAGTCAGATAGTTGTTTATTTCCTTGACATCTGATGGGAGGGTGTTCCACAGAGCGGGCACCACCACCAAGAAGGCCCTCTGCCTGGTTCCCTATAACTTGGCATCTCGCAGCAAGCTTGTCACGGCTATAAATTGGCCGCTGTTTCTTTAATGCTTAAAAAGCTGGGTCAGCATGAGTCAGCGGCCTGCACCGGGTTGTATATATAGAGTGAGAAATGTTAGTTTGTTGTTGGGTTGGTTGGTTGGTTAGTGAAAGCTAGTAGTGTTGATGTGTATACAGTTGGTCAGTCACTTTTGCAGAAAGACTTTTAAGAATAAAAGCAGAAAGTACACTGCAAGGATACTTTTCTTGTGGACTCTTTTATGCCGATAAGGGTCCGAGGACCAGGCTGAGGTGACAAAGGGAGGTCAGAACCCCCCCCTTTTTTTTTTACAAACACTGACAGAGGTAACCGCCAGAAGGCCCTTGGAGCTGGACCTCAGTGTCCGGGCAGAACGATGGGGGTGGAGATGCTCCTTCAGGTATACTTGCAGCTTCAAGTACAGAGGCTCACACCCGGATTCCCAGTTGGTCAGACTTTATCTGGGACGGCATTACCAGACAGAGCTGAAAGAATCTGTGAGAACATTTCCACCAGAACACAAACTATACAGTACAGGCAAAATATATGCCATGTTAGGGTTCCGGTTCCGGTCAAGATGGAGGAGACATGGTGAATCTGGCTACTCCCTAACTGAAGGCAAGATTTACGCACCTAATCTATTTCTTGGCACCAGTTTATCTGCCTCCCCGTTCTATCTTTTAATGCTTTATTAGAGCTCTTCTCAAAGCTGCGTTCTATGCTCTACCCTGCTATTTTATCGGACTAACAACCTCCACCGCGAGGTTGCAGGAAAGGAAAAGCTGAGCTCTCTTCCAGCCCACCCGAATGAGAGGCATTATTAATGAGTTTCTATAGCTTCACAAGGCTCACAACTTCACTTTGAGAGAGGCTCAACAACCTGCTCCCAATAATAAATATTGCAAAGAGGCTTATTAGCAAACGGGACTAAAGCACTCCCTATGCGAAGACATCGAGACCTCTGTCACAATTAGAAACCAGAACCGGTTGATTACCTGAGGAACTGAAAGCAAGTTTGGCTCAATAATTTCTATTTGGCATCAGCTATTATCTCATCATCTGTCAGAGATATCAGTAAGCTCCAGTGGCAACTACTATAAATCCATGCCCTCGCTAGTGATTCCCGTCAAGTGTTAGCACCCGGACTCTGGCATTTGCCAAGGCAAGCTCATCCCCCCCCCCCCCCCCGGAGCAGAGAGACATCAGAGAACTGATGATATTCAATTACTCCATGCTCTATATCTACTATGGTCCTCACCAGGAAGAACTGTAAGGACCTGGGAGTCACGCTAACCTTGCCTCATAGCTCTACGGAGCATCGAAGGAGGCAAAGCAAAATCACCAGTTATTTCCCCCAAAAGAAGTGAGCAAGAGAGTTCAGAGTGAGACCTCACTAGACGAGGTTATCCCCCTGCCTCCCACTGTGCTGGACTGGTCAATACAGCCCAAAGAACTAAGAACAGACCACAGGAGTACAAACCATTCAACAAGCTTGGCTCAAGAAATTGCCTTAGCAGAAAATGTCACGAAGGCGAAAACTATGCCATGTTAGCTGTTCATTCTCTACCCAACCACCTGCTTTCACCCCACTATCTCTCATCTGACCACGTGCCTTGAAATGCAACCTTATTCAACCCATTATTTTACTGTACATGCTGGAACCCTCCTTGAACCTTACATGGAGCCTGTAAGTTTCCCTTCAGCTGGTTCTTACCAGTCTTGTAGTCAGGTTGCATCCTTGCATACATGAAACTGGCCTCACTGAGAAGAGGACCTAACAGTAATTTCACATCCAATGCAGAGATGAAGGAGCTGGTTTTCTATATGGCAAAGCCTTTCAGGAGGAGGACCTAGCATGCCAGTGGTCCCAGACTCTGCAGGAAGCAGAGCTGGGAAAGAGACTCTCTTTTCACTGGAGACCACAGAGAGCTGCTGCTCACCAGCAGAGTCGATCCTTGACTAGATGGACCATGGGCTCCCTGATTTGCTATGAGGTATCATCCTGCCAGAGACATCACCTTGCCAACAAAGGTCCGTATAGTAAAAGTTATGGTTTTCCCAGTAGTGATGTATGGAAGTGGGAGCTGGACCATAAAGAAGGCTGATCACCGAAGAATGGATGCTTTTGAATTCTGGTGCTGGAGGAGACTCTTGAGAGTCCCATGGACTGCAGGAAGATCAAACCGATCCATTCTGAAGGAAATCAGCCCTGAGTGCTCACTGGAAGGACAGATCCTGAAGCTGAGGCTCCAAGACTTTGGCCACCTCAGGAGAAGAGAAGACTCCCTGGAAAAGACCCTGATGCTGGGAAAGATGGAGGGCACAAGGAGAAGGGGACGGCAGAGGACGAGATGGCTGGACAGTGTTCTCGAAGCTACCAGCATGAGTTTGACCAAACTGCGGGAGGCAGTGGAAGACAGGAGTGCCTGGCGTGCTCTGGTCCAGGGGGTCACAAAGAGTCAGACACGACTAAATGACTAAACAACAAAGTAGGAGATGGGAGATTGACTCAGTGGGTATGGTAAACCTGTTGACGACTGTTAACGACTGCAATCAGTCCAACAGAAAAAAGCAAGGGATAGTATGCAGGTGACCCCACCCTCCCACTATATATAAGGGTCTGGTGACTTCTGTTTCAGTGTATCTGAAGAAGTGTGCTTGCACATGAAAGCTTATTCCCAGAACAAACTTAGTTGGTCTCTAAGGTGCTGCTGGAGAATTTTAAAATTTATTTTGAAGACATTTACTCACATTGGGACGCGGGTGGGGCTGTGGGTTAAACCATGGAGCCTAATACTTGCAGATCAGAAGGTCGGCGGTTCGAATCCCTGCAACGGGGTGAGCTCCCATTGCTCGGTCCCTGCTCCTGCCAACCTAGCAGTTCGAAAGCACGTCAGAGTGCAAGTAGATAAATAGGTACTGCTCTGGCGGGAAAGGAAACGGCGTTTCTGTGCGCAGCTCTGGTTTGCCAGAAGCGGCTTAGTCCTGCTGGCCACATGACCTGGAAGCTGTCTGCTGACAAAGGCCGGCTCCCTTGTATGTCTGTCTGTCTGTCTGTCTCTCTCTCTCTCTCTATCTCTCTCTCCCTCTCACACACACACACACACACACACACACACACACAGTCCATTTTTACCTCCATCCTCCTGCCTGATGAGTTCTGCAAGGGCAAAACCTGAGGCCAAGGACCCAGAGGAAGCTCTCTGGCAGTGCCACCCCCTGGGCTAGGCTGCTTCTAAGTCAGAAGTCAGCAAAGTCGGGGCTGGCTGAGAGAAAATCGGAAATGTGCAATTTTTGGAGACAAAAAAAATCTGAAAAATGAGGTCACCCCCTCCTCACTTTTCTGTTATTTCCCCAAATCTTCAGAAACAAACAGGGAGTAAAAGGGGGTGGAATTGGGGTGGTTTCTCCCCGCCCCCAACTTTTTGATCCTTCTTCCAGGCCTTCACACCCCTAGGAAATACTGGGGTTGGTCAGGCAGTGCCCCACCCTCACGGACCAGCCTCTTCCGGAAAGCGCTTTGGGTTTCGAGTCCCCGGGCGACAATCAAAGCGAGTGCCAGGCCTTGCGTCTCTGTGGGGTCTCCTCCACTCATCAGTTCCTCACTCCCGATCTGAATATAACCAGAGTGCACTTAGCGGCCTCTTTGTTTCCTCCTCGCTTGCAGAGCCAGCTGCATTGTGGCACCGGCGGGAGCTTTGATCGTAATTCCTCCGACATCAAAGCGTCCTCCGCGCTTTTAGTCTCTGAGCAAAAGGAGCTCTTCTAATGTGCCGTCTGCTAAGTTGGCATCAAAGGGAAGAGGAGCCCGTGGGGAACTGGCACTAAACTGAGTCAGTCGGAGTGCGGAAAGTGGCAGCAAGAGAACTGCAGTCGTCTAAACCAGCCTCCGCCAACATGGCGCCCTCCGGGAACTACAAGTCCCATCAGCCCACAGCCATTGCCTGGGCCCCTCCCGATCTGTGGGGGTTTTGTGGGCGTGTTCTGCAATGGGCCAATGGTGCCATGGGCCATCCCAAAGAGGATGGGGCAAGCTTGTTTTCTCCTGCTCTGGAGGGCAGGAAGCGGTTTCAGCTGGCTGCTCAGACCGCATGGCTCTCACCAGCCACTCCTGAGATCTTATACCAGCAATTTAGGAACTTTCCCCACTTTGTAACTAAGCAAAGTTTTACTGCCTGGGCAACTTTCTGAAGGACACGAATCTGACCTTTGAAGAGTTTGCAAGTAAACGTTTTTATTTATTTTTTACTAATAGTCCTTTTCCCATGCTGGGGGAAGAGAGAAACTTTGGAAAGAAACTTTTTAAGGAAATGTTTGGGAACTCACCATAGGAGCCAATGCCTAGGGGCCAAGAAATACAAAGCCTCTGTTTCTTTCCCTGCACATTATACACTGTTTTTGTTCAGGCTAGTCAGTAAAGTGCTATCTGGATTTATTTCTCTCTGGACTCCATCTGCATTATTTAAGTGACTTTGCTAACACGCACAGGCACCTTTTCCACATCGATTGATTGGGGGTTGCCCGCACCATCTTGTGGTCCTGTCTCTTTTAGCCGTGGCTTCCATTTTGCATTGTGCCACACACACACATCATGGCATTTTGTGACGGATGCCCATTGCACTTCCTTCAAATTCCATATGGGACCATTGTCCCCCAAAGATTGGAAACCCCCGAACTAACATGTAAGCAATGCACCTGTTATGTACTGAAGTTCTCACCCTGGGCCAGCAGGGGGATACTGTAGATAGTTCAGGTCCACATATGCAAATAAGGGATCGAAAGTGACGTTCAGTGATTTCGCTCAGTGTTTCAGCTCAGTGATGCGGCCGCATCTGGCTGTGCTCTGTTGTCCATCGATCCCACCTTCGTCGCCAGTGTTAAGTAGTGGGTGAACATATCAGACGACACAGTGATTCTTCAAACAGCTCTTGCTTATTCACAGGCCAGAACAGAACTGAACTGAAGGCTTCAGCCAGCCTGCTCATATAGAGCTCCACTAGAACGCAACAGTAACCATTTTCTGTAACTATCCAATCACTGAATGTTACTTTTGATCCCTTATTTGCATATGTGGACCTGAACTAGGTGCAAAGCACAGCCTTGGTTAGGTGCGAATATCTCAAGCAATGAGGAGCTAGCTGAGAATTTGATCATTTAGTGCGATAGCGTCTCAACTTTGGAATTCTCTGCTGTTTTTGCCATATTCTTTTCAGTATCTGCCGAAAGTGTTCTAGTTCACACAAACCCGTCCGGAGGCTTAGAAAGTTGGTGCAAGTTTTAATGTGTTTTAGCATTTTAACTCTCTGCACGTTTTAAAGTATTGCAGATTATTCCTGATTTTGTCATTTCACCTTTCCGTAAACCGCTTTGAGGTGTGTGTGTGTGTGTGTGTGTTTGTTTGTTTGTTTGTTGAATCAAACGGCGCATAAATTTGACAAAGCTATTAAATAAAGAAATATCAAACGCCACAACTCAGGAATGCAGCCCAAAGATTCTTTAATGAAACAACTTTCTTCTCACCCTTTAGCACTTAAAATCACCCCTGAAAACTGCCCTTCAGCAGAATAAGCACTGCTATTTTTCTAGAAAAATAGGTGCCAGAATTCACCACAAACGCCTCCCTTGCTCTCTTAGAATGGCACCCAAGTGAGTTCCAGCTGAAAAAAGCCCTGATTGCAAGATCTAAAGATGCGCACAATTGAAGATACACCCCTGTGCATGATTGACCCCATCCCACTACAGAGAACATAGAGAAATCAACCACCCCGGTTTCTCCCCCTTTCCCCCTTCTGAGCGAAGCAAAGGGACCGCTCTGGCTTCCGTCGAAGGGTCTTCTCCAGCCACCCGAGGTTATCAGGGCAGGTAGTTCAGGTTGCAGCACCACATGGCAAATTTCTGTTTTAAAAAAAAGGGCCAGGAGAGATTGGGTGAGAATGATGAACCTCCCATTTCGCCACTGGATTCCACCCTCTTCAACTCAGGCCCCTGTAAATTCTGGCACCTGAGGCAGAAAAGCCAAACAGTGGACACATGCACTCCGGGGAAGGGGAATTGGGGCCACTGCATTACGTTAACACCCGTGTCGCCTTTGTAAGAACTCCATCATTTAGTGTGGCAGCATCCACACTTTGGAACTCCCTGCCTATGGACATCAAAGTGGCACCTTTGCAGTACACATTTTGGCACCTGCTAAAAACATTCTTGTTTAGACAAGCCCGTCCAGGTGCTTAGAAAGTTGACGGGACTTTTAGTCTGTTTCAGTAATTAAACTCTCCGTATACATTTTCCTTGTACAATTATATTTCTTGCATTGTTACAAATACCTTGTACACATTTTCTTTTCTCTTTATTGCAAGGCCCCTCGAGGTTTTTCCCAATCAAAGGGGGTGTGTAACTTTTATGAAATAATAAACTCGGGGAACAATTCCTTTGGGAAGTTCTCCTGCACAGGCCCTTTAGGAATGAACGGGGGCATGGGGGGGGAGGTAGCAATGGAAGAAATCCTGGCCAACAATAAATCCTGACGAACCAGAGCAGCGCACGGAAACGCCGTTTACCTTACCGGAGAGGTACCTATTGATCTACTTGTGCTGGTGTGCTTTCGAACTGCTAGGTTGGCAGGAGCAGGGAACGAGCAACGGGAGCTCACCCCATCATGGGGATTTCTGATCAGCAAGTCCTAGGCTCTGTGGTTTAACCCACAGCGCCACCCGCATCCCTCGGGAGACAGTAGGAGGGAGATAAATGAAATGAAACTTTACTATGGGAAGTGAAAAGCGGGATGGGTTGCAGAGGGAGCCTGCCAGGGGCAGCTAAAGAGATCCTTGGTGGAAGTCAAGCTATAGCCAAAAGGAAGACCTTCCTCACCCCAGACTCCCCCCGTTCTCATGGCTACTAGCCAGAATGGCTCTGATCTGCCTCCAGAGCTGGAGTTAAAATACCAGAACAGAATAAAATTCACACAAGCGTTTCTAAGCTCAACATCAAGATGCAGGGAGTTCCAAAGGGTAGCTGCTGCCACACTAAATGATCAAGTTCTTACGAATACATAAGAGGGATTATGGAACACAGTGCCCGCCCCCCCGCATTATTTCCCAATTCCCCCATTTCTTACGTCCCCCATTCTCTCCCCAAACACAGATTTAGGCACTCCCACCCAACACTGGCATACAGTTTAAAGTCTCTCTTCTCACCGGGACAACGATGACGTCACGGCAGGAGGAACAGGCACAGTTTATGGGGAAAGGCCAGGGGATTCCGCCTTTCAGGCTCTCTGCAGGAGAAGACGGGGAATAAAAAAATGATCATGCAGTTATGGCTGTGCCCACATCGCAAGAGCCAAAGACTGATACCTCTGGCATTTTCGCCTTGGAGCACTTACGATACGATACGATACAATATATTTATTGTCATTGTCCCATACAGAACAATGAAACTGACAAACTACAAGACATTCAAAAACCCCTAAAAACTCTGAAACCCCATTTTAAAATACAATATAGTATAGAGACCCCTTATGCTGTGTTTAGAATCAGAATTGCATTTGTGTAGAAACTGTTTCTCAGGCGGCTAGTCCTAGTCTTTATAACCCTGGACCTTCTTCCAGAAGGCAGAAGCTGAAAGAGATCATTTCCGGGGTGCGCACTATCCTGCGCTATCTCTGCAGCTTTCTTATAGCACCTGGAAGTGTAGATTTGATCCAAGGTGGGAAGAGTGCACCCAATTCTTCTCTCCACTATATACTGCAGAGAGGAAGTCCGGCCTCATTTGATGCAGATAAAGTCCCACCAAGCAGCTTGGGTTTCTCAGAGTCTTCCAAGCCTTTGGCAACACATAATATTTCAGTTATTTTTTCTGCCACGCTTTTTATTTATTTTTTTACCCACACGGAAGTTGCCAGTCTCCCAAGGTTTTCCATTGGGGGGCAAGTGAGGATTGGGGGGCCGCTGACATTCATGTCAAGGGTCCCCGAATGCTGGAACCTTTAAAGCGACCATCCCCTAGATTTCGCTGTGGCGAAGTCGGAAGGAGATGCTTGAGCCAGTGCAAATCTCACCAGCCGTGTCAGCAAAACGCGCCCCTGAGCAACACTCACCGTTGAATAAGTCCTGGCAGTGTGTCCTTATCGGAAACAGTTCCTCTATCACGGAGCCCTGCGAAAAGAAAACCCTCCACGCGTCAAGAGAGAGGCAGATGGGAATCATGGAGCTGTGGACTTCGAAGGGGTCCCCGAGGGTCACGTAGTCCAACCCGCTGCAGTGCAGGAACCACGTCTAAAGAATCCATGACGCATGGCCATGCAGCCTCCAAATGAAGGAGAATGGGGCCACCTTCTGAGGCATCGCACATTTCCTGCCTTTGCACTTGCTTTGGGGTCCCTTTCAAAGCAACTGGAAGGAGACTGGGGGAAAGGTAGGTAAGTAGCACTTCTATCAGGGTGTGTTGGATAATAATAATAATAATAATAATAATAATAATAATATATTATTTGTACCCCGCCCATCTGTCTGGGTTTCCCCAGCCACTCTGTGCGGCTTCCAACAAAGATTAAGAAACATTACAATGTCACACATTAAAAACTTCCCTAAACAGGACTGCCTTCAGATGTTTTCTAAATGTCAGGTAGTTGTATATCTCTTTGACATCTGATGGCAGGGCGTTCCACAGGGCAGGTGCCACCACCGAGAAGGCCCTCTGCCTGGTTCCCTGTAGCTTTGCTTCTCGCAGGGAGGGAACCGCCAGAAGGCCCTCAGCGCTGGACCTCAGTGTCCAGGCAGAACGATGGGGGTGGAGACGCTCCTTCAGGTATACTGGTCAGAACCCTGAATGGCACAGATCGAGAGTTGGAGGGCTTTGGCAAATGCTAGTAATTTTAGAGGCGTGAAGACCCCAAGGAAGACCAGATAGCAGGGGGAGAACCATCGAGCCCAGAAACTGCAAGATGCAAGGCGGGCAACCAGCATCGCTTCAGCACCAGTTCCACTCTGTCATGGCTTCCCCTCGAGGAATCATGGGAATTATAGTTGGGTGTCAAGGCTGGGGGGTCTCTGCTAGAGGTCCCTGCCACCCTCAAAACCACAGGGCCCACAATTCCCTAGAGAGAGGGAAGAGATGTGTCAATCGGTTTAAAATCTGTGCGGTCGAGGCAAGAGTATTGTTGGCTCAGAAATGGAAGCAAGAATACCAATGAAAGAAGAATGGCAGACAAAATTAATGGACTATGCAGAATTGGATAAAATGACAGGAAGGATTCGAAACCGGCGGGATCAGAGATTGGAAGAAGAATACGAACTATTTGAAGAGCAACTGTAATCAACAAATTACGCTAGTAGGACTACTAGAAGTTTTGTACGGAGGAATATATGAAATATTGCAAAGAGGAGTAAGAAGAGAGACATTAGTTATGAGATTTAAATGTAATAATGAAAATAAGAAATGTCAACCAAGTAAACAGATTTGGAAAATTTTCATATGTGATTGATGGAAGTCAAAAAAGGTCAGCTCCATCCATAAGCCTCACTGCCCCCATTAAATCACCTGATACTTACATCAACTGTGCAAGAGCTTCCGCTGCAAGCAGCTGTAATCTGGAGGTCGCTGGGGAGAGAGGAATGAGCCGCTGTGATGCGAGGCAGAGCCACCCATCCCCTCCCCATCCATTCCCCAACTTTCAATCCCAAGCCAGCCCCAGGTCTCTTTGCAACTTTCAATCTATAGGGCCTCTTACCTTCCTTGCATTCACAGCCTCAGCCCTGCATCCCTGCTTTCTGAGACAGGCCTCTTCAACACGTATTGATCTGGAGACCTTTCCAGAGCCAGGAAAAGTCGGGTGGCAGGAAGTGTGAGTTGTGTGCAGGGAGGAAGAAGCGTCACAGGTGCCCACAAACAATGCTCTCTGCCCCAAGCCCACCACAGCTGCCCACGAGGGCCTCCATCCACGGTCCCAAGGGATCTAATCCAAACCAGGGGACGGGTCCTTGCATGCATTACCTTATTACAACCACCGACAACACCAGCAGTCCTCTTTGGCAGTCAATGGCCGGGTGGAGAATTATTCTCACTCTCTGAAATTGGGATGCAAAGGGCATCAGAGTCGAACCGTTGGCCAGGGGAGAGCAATCCGGGGGTTTTTAGGATGGAAGAATGAGGAAATCCAGACTAAAGAACAGTGGCAAGAGAAACTGGTGGATTGTGTGGAATTTGCAAAATTGACACACAAACTACGTGAGAAGGACAACTGTGACTTTAAAGAAGAATGGGAACCTTTTACGAAGTACTTAAAGAAACAACAAAATGAACTGGACTCCTTGGCAGGTTCGGAATAAACATTCACAAACTCTTTATCAGTAATATACTGATAGATAAATTGAGGATCTTTACAACTCGATAACATGCAGAGAATAATATGTGCTGAGAAAGCAGAGAGAGGAGCTGAGGGAAGTCTGGGGGTGGGCTGGGGGAGGTTCTTTCTAGGGGAGGGGGGAGGGGAAAATGGGGGGATGAAGATGATGTATTTTTGATTAATTGTTAAAATTCCAAATAAAAAATATTTTTTTTAAAAAAAAAAAAAAGAGCAATCCGTTTTTTAAGAGACTTAGACAGCTCCGATTACATCCAGTTTTGCTCACATCAGATGGAGTCTTGTATCAAACAGCCACTGGCGCTAAGACACTGCACGTTTCTTTTAAACTGAAATAAGCATGTGCAAAATTAAACGCGAAGCTCAGGTTGCACAGAGGAGTGGCTCGTCTTTCACCAATTTATTGCCTTTCATTTATAGCTGCGTGCTGGTTGCTTTTAGGAACCTAGAGAGCATGTGTTCCTAATAGTTCATCTTTTCAGTACAGCAGGGTGGGGAGATCGGGGGAGACGCACTTCTTGTTGAGACCAAGGAGCAAAACAAGAATTGGGGAGGGAAATAGGTGTAGATAAAATCTTCATTGAGGTTTTCAGAAAATTCCACCCCTGATTCTGGGCTCCTGAAGGGTAATTTGCCCGGTGTTTAGACTTACCGCTGTGAGTTGAAGGAGGCGAACAAACTCTGACTGGAAATAGCCAATATTGATAAGCAGGACAGCATCAAGAATGACAGCGTTAGCAGTAAACTGGATGGTGATGCTTGTGCACGAGAACTTCAGCAAAGAAGAAAGATCCGCTGGACAGTCAATCTGTGGGAGAAGAGGGTAGATGTGATCTCTCAGGATCATCTATCCTGGCTCTGGCGCACGTCACCAGTGGGGTGGAAGTTATCAATCATTCAATCTTTATTACGGTCCAGAGACCCAACAAATCGTTACAAAGCAAAGCACAATTCAGACAGCCTACCACCAGGTTAAACAAGCATTTTGTTCCAACTTAAAGATAGGGATCATTGGTTCTTGCAACCACCAATAAAAACTTTGCCACGGCGAATGTTCTAGCATTTGTCCGGTCTTCCAATAGGAACCTGACATAGCGAGCCTCTGATTTTCCCGGGAAAGGTACCAGCAAGGGTAATATCAATTCAGCCCTGGCTTGCTCATATTTTGCACAGTGCAGCAAAATATGTTTTATAGAATCGAACTCCTCTCAACCTGCCATCCAACACTGCAGAAGGAAAGACGTTTAGTCTGGCTTTGGAGAATAACCTTCGATCATTTGGTACTGTCAGGTTTTTAACGTAAGGTGTTATGGAAGTTATCTTTTAGAGGGAAGACCAATTTGGTATTTAAGGAGCTGTCAGTCAGTCAGTCAGTCAGTTTTATTGCACATAGCCAAAGGCTGCCGCAATGTACACAGAATCATTCAACAATTAAAAGAAAATATACTGAATTGATACTTAAAACATTTATATTATCAAGACATTACCTACTCTATACAGAGCTATAAAAGTACCTTACTATACAAATTAAGACATTAAACAATAAAATTTGTAAGCTAAGATTATCACATGGCCACTAATATATTAAAAATAATGTTAATTAATACAATGTGCAATTATATTCGGAGTTTGGTGATAAAGATAGAATATAGCTTGATGTAGATAGGGTCAAATAAATTCATCTCCTTTACAGTTGGTGGCTACCTTGGCTATATAATTTGCTCTAATTTGATAAAGTGATAGAAGAAAACACAAAATTATTTTTAAAAGGCATATAATATCCTTTTGGAATGGGAGACCAAAGATGAAGAAGTAAAATCAGTACTGATTAAATGGGCGCAAGATGTAGGACATAATATACAATTTCAATAATATACAATGACCCTGGGTGTCCCTTCTAACTCCACCACTCTATAATTCTATGAAATCAACTTATCTCACCAGGAGATGCTGGCGTTTTTGTTTAGAAATTGCTAAACATTGGTTTTCTGCAGCAGGCCTGTCGATAAGATTCGTGGCATGCTCAGGTGTGGCCCTGTTGCTCTGGTCGAGAAACTGACCTGCCAGCTCAGGGAGGCCAGAGGCAATATCTCACCATATGAGATGGGACAATCAACCGAGACAACCTCCCCAGACCCACAGAAACATCTGGAGAGACTTATCGGAGAGATTTCAATATGCATCACAAACTTGTTCTAAGCAGCGATTCCAGCTATAAGCTGCTGCTGTTTATCGTATTTTAAATTGTGTTTCTCTTACGTGGGAAAACAATAAAATGCTTTTGAAAAAGCCAGCCCAGAGGATTCTTCACTTTCAGTCGGAGCTGGCTTCACAGTTTGTGTGACAGACCAGCAAATCCTGATTCAGCTGGCAGTCCTTCCTGTCCCCATTGAAGCCCCTGAAAACAGCTGCAAAACTGCTCCATAGACAGAGCGGAGAGATGTGCTGGCGACAACACAAGCGCTAGCCAATCGGTTCCCGCTGCGCAGCATCAGCTGAACCAAGCTGCAAACTTGCAAGGCTGGTTTCCAGAGCTTCCCCTGGGGAGAGGAAAAGGGTATCGTTGTCCTGAACTTGTTGAGGGGTGTTTCCAAAGTGGTCGATATCGCTCCCAAAATGTGTCCGTCGCTCACACGCAGGGGAGTCAAGAAGCCATTTATCCACCCTGCTGGCCCATGAACAAATCTCTGAAAATCTCCCCGTCCCCTGACACACAGCCAAGGAGAATCACGTACCTCAGGGATGTGGCTCATGATTAAAGTGGTGGTCACAGTCGACTGTGGAAAGAAAATACATCTTGATTATAATGTTCTGCCATGGTCTCCCCCCCCCCCCCCAATGCTGGGCTCTGTTCAAAGAGTCAACCAGGAGATTTCTTAAATTAAAAGAAGTTTAAGGATTATTTAGTAAAATATTCTAAGATAATATAAGTAGTAATATTTGTGAGTACCAAATTGGCTTGGGAGTTAAATGTTTTAAATTGTATGACACTATGGATAGAATATGATGGATAGAATATGACACTATGGATAGAATATGATAAGAAAGAAAGATGTTAATTGATTAAGTTAATCTTATTGGAAATTAGTATTGGAAAACTGCTGTAATGAAATATATGGAAAATCAGCTAGAGGGATTTGAAGAAGTCAACTAACAATGGTAATAAAAGTGGGAGTATAATAGTTAGGATGAATGTTTGTCTGTTTGTTTGGTTTTTTATATGTATTTTTTTCTTTTCTGTTTATGTTTGTTATAAATTTGGAAAATCAATAAAAAAAATTGGGGGGGAAAGGAGACACGCTGTCTGAAAGGATGTCTCCCTGGATACTTAAACTGAGGCTTGAGGTTGTGCAAAGCCACAGAGAGGAGAAGAAGAAACGGGTGTCCTGTTGCAAATGGCACCGGATACTACCCTTATATTTATGGCAGGGGCTGGATCTACATTGATCTTACAGAACGTTATTTTTTAATAACGTTTAGAACGCTGAATGGCAGTTTCCCATTGTCGGTGGCTCTCTGCTCTGCAGCACCCTCTGGTGTCACATTTTAATAACACATTTTTAACGTTATCAATGGCAAGTGTAGAACTGCCCTAAGGGGATCGTGGCTAATTGTTCTGGGGTTTTTAAAATGTGGGGTTTTAATTGTAGTTGTTCCTTTCTGTATATTCCCCCATTTTTTAAAAAATAACATCTGCTTTGAGATCCAGATGTGAAAAACGGAGAATGTTTGTGTGGGAAGTAATCCATTGGAGCAGTCAAATTAAACAATCCCTAGAGTGGACACAGACAGGGGGATGTTACCCCAGCCAGTCAAGCTTCCTGTTCCACTGGTCTGGAGCGTCCTCCCTCTGCGTGTGACCTGGGAGATGGGCACAGCCCTGGCTGACTCCATAAAAGAGCCGAATCACGCAGCCATCTTAAGCTTTCTCTCTCTCACACATTCACCTGCTCTCTCGCTTGCTGATCTCTTACTGCAGTGCTGCTCTACTGCGGCCATTTTGTTCTCTGAATGTAATTTTGCTGTCTGCTGGCTCTTAGCCAGCAGCACATGAGCTCAATCTCCATGTGAGACGAACTCACAGATTCTTATGTAACTACAGTGGTAACTCTGGATGCGAACGGGATCCGTTCTGGAGCCCCGTACGCATCCAGAAGCGAACGCAACCTGCGTCCGTGCATCTGCGCGCACGTGGGTCACCATTCGCCGCTTCTGCACATGCACACAATGTAATTTTGACAGTCTGCGCATGCGCGAGCGGCGAAACCCGGAAGTAACGCGCTCCGTTATTTCTGGGTCGCCGTAGCGCACAACCCGAAAATACTTATCCAAAAGCTATTTCAACCCGAGGTATGACTGTACTAGCCAAAGCCTGCCTTTCAGGGATCACATCGTGAACTGAAATGTGAGTAAACATCTTCAAAATAAATTTAAAAATTCTACAGTAGCACCTTAGAGACCAACTAAGTTTTTTCTGGGAATAAGCTTTCACGTGCATGCACACTTCTTCAGATACACTGAAACAGAAGTCACCAGACGCTTATATATAGTGGGAGGGTGGGGTCATCTGCATACTATCCCTTGCTTTTTCCAGTAGGACTAATTGCAGTTGTTAACAGTCATCAACAGGTTTACCATACCCATTGAGTCAATCACCCATCTCCCACTACCCTTCTGATAAAACCCCCACCCTCCCACTATATATAAGGGTCTGGTGACTTCTGTTTCAGTGTATCTGAAGAAGTGTGACACCAGGAATAATCCCTCTGGGCAAGCCAAATTGGATTACTTAATGTTATGTACTGAGCTGAATAGGATCCAAAATGCAGCAGTCTGATTGGTCCTAGAACAATAGGATTCAGAATGCAGCAGTCTGATTGGTTCACAGGAGCCACCCAATCCAGCTCCAGGTGGAAGTGAATCTGCAACCTGATTGGCCTATAGGAGAATCCCAAAATTAGCCAATCACGTGGGGCCCATTGTGTAAATAATGTATATAAAGCAGACATTCATTCCATTCCTCCTCACCACTATGAGATGAATAAAGAGCATGAAATCCACTCTTGACTCCAAGTATATTTCACTTAACTAAAGAGATTCAAACAAATCTGCAAAGTAACTTCCTGCTATATTGAAGGGAAGGAAGTATAATACTTAATCAATATAGCCTTTCCTACTATCCTTACTTTAAGCAGTATGAAGCAGAATATTAATTGCCCAGATGAACAAACTGGCCCCTGAAGCTCTGAATCCCAGGGCTTCAGCTGAATCAGATCAAGCTGCCATCTTTGCACAGGCTTCATATTTCACTGAGCGGGGCAAAAATATCTCTGGTGTTGACCCTCTGATTCACTGCTTCCTAAAGGTGGTAGAATCATCTTGGGGGGGCACTAAGAGGCAAAGGGGCAAAAGGGCACTGGAGGTGTCAATGACTTCCAGACTTTGAAAAGCTGGTAGCCCTGGATCAAGTTGATCACCTCAGCTGCATTAATTAAGCTAAACGAACAAATAAATTGGATTGTGGATAAATGTGCAATTAATTGTTACTGGTTTGGATTTTATTGTGTTATTCTCTTCCTGGGCAGGTTGTACAAACCGCTGCTCTGAATGATGCTTTTTTTTAATAGGGTAAAGTTAGGGGGCACTGGGGGTGAGCTTATGGAAACAAGGGGGCAGTGCTCCCCCCAAAAAAAATTGGTGACCACTGCCTCCAGCTTGTTGTCAATTGCCCAGGGAAAGGGCCCTCACTGTGCAGAACTCACCACGGTGAGCTCAAGGTTGAACAATCCTCTTGCCCTCAAAGTTGAAAAGATGTGGCCTGTGTCAGCTTCGTTCAAAAAATAACAGATGTGTCCGTCAGGGACGAGGGTGGCTGGCGGGTAGTAGATGGGATAGTTGGGCCAGGGAACCACAGCTCCTCCGCAGGACATTTGAGGCTGCAAGGAGAACAAGAGGGGGGAAATTCAGTGGGACCCAACTGCAGTCGCTGTGATGGCCTGGGATTCGGATTCGGACTCGGAGGCTGAACCTGAGGGATCCCAGCCTGCACAGGATTCCCCACCTCCACAATCAGATGAGCCGGGGATGGAGCATGAGCCTGAAGGGTCCTCACCTGTGCTGGATCCTCAACTGCAGGCGTCAGCTGAGTCTGCTCTCGCTCCTGTGGTGATGGACTCAAGGCAGGTCCAGCGGCCATTCAGAAAGCAGGTGGGAAGGTCAGAGCGCCAACTGCTAAAGGAACTGCCAGCCCAGAGAGCAGCAAGCTGAGACTCCTGCGCTGCAGCCGGTTGAACTAGATAACCCTTGTGGCCGGGGCATAGCATGGGTTGCTGGCACCCGGGATAGGGCAAGTGTTGCAGCCCCCTGGTGGACTAGTCAGTCCATAGCTATCAACGTTTCCCTTTTTTTAAGGGAAATTCCCTTATTCCGAATAGGATTCCTCGCAAGAAAGGGGGAAAGTTGAAAGCTATGGGTCAGTCCCTTCACCGGCCAGCGTCTAATCAAGGGAATCTCTCCTTGCAAACTTGCCGATCCGAAGGTCGGCGGTTCAAATCCCCGTGACGGTTCCGAAGGTCGGCGGTTCGAATCCTCCGTTTCCGTTCGCTGCAGTCCAGTCGTGGCCGACTCTGGGGTTGCAGCGCTCATCTCGCTTTATTGGCCGAGGGAGCCAGCATACAGCTTCCGGGTCATGTGGCCAGCATGACTAAGCCGCTTTTGGCGAACCAGAGCAGCGCACGGAAACACCATTTACCTTCCCGCCGGAGTGGTACCTATTTATCTACTTGCACTTTGACGTGCTTTCGAACTGCTAGGTTGGCAGGAGCAGGGACCGAGCAACGGGAGCTCACCCCGTTGCAGGGATTCAAACCGCCGACCTTCCGATCGGCAAGTCCTAGGCTCTGTGGTTTAACCCACAGCGCCACCCACGTATGCCTGTACATAGCCTGATCCTTATTTCAGGCATAGTGATTTATCAGTATATTGCAATGTTTAGCTGGTGATATATCACAATCTTGAAATATCGCCCGGCCCTAATTCTAGCCCTCCCTCCCTGCATCCATTATTCAGACTGACCCCCTCTGAGCCTGTAACAAGCATCCTAGAAGATGAATCCACTCACCACAAAAGGGAAATCCAAGTAGCCGGAGGTGAGTTGAGGCGGATAGGGCCTTGTGCAGATGTACTGGCAGCCTGTGAAGAACGGCGTTGGCTCTGGGGGAGAAAGATCGGGAGTTTTCCAAAGCTGGACCACAAAGCACAGCAGAACAGTAGCCCAAGCAGGGATGGCTGGCAGCTCTTGCGACTGATGGGGCAGGAGGCCGGGAGTCAGGCAGTAGGTGGCGCCAGAGAGCCAATGTCAGGCAGAGGCAACGCGGTCTGGTCTCCATCTTGCCCCCCGCTGAGTTCTGCAAGGGACAGCACTGAGACTAAGGGGGGGGGCGAGAGGTGGAACCAACCTCTCGGCTAGAAGTACATAAGAAAAATGCTTTTTGAACCAAATGGCCACACCTTTAGCATTCGTCAAAGTATCCGTGACGTATACCTGTTACCCCCGCCCCAATCTTTCATTCATAAAGATTTATCCTGTTCCATTAAATGAGCCTCCTGTAAATAGGCAACGTATGCCCTCGAAATTTTAAATACGCTAAATTACATTTTGATTCTCAGATTCTCACAACTCTTTTACATTAAGACTAACTGCATCCCTTAATTTCACCTTGCCCCCTTATCAATGTTTCCCCAATACCCATTCATTTTATGACTTGTACCATTTAACAAATATCTAATACAGTGGCACCTCTGGTTGCGAATGTGATCCTATTGTTTTACATGTGGAATGTGGGCAGGGCCGGGGTCATATTCTGTTATTTATTTTGCAAGAACGATATAACGCTTTGCTTTAATGGAAAAAACTCTTAACCATTTACATAGAACGGTGTGCAATATCCATTAACAATAGCTTTAAAAACAATGCATTTTTTAAAAAACCTGTAAAAATATAAGCAAAAAATCAGCAGTTTGAAAAAGCAAATGCATAGTAGGCTTGCCTAGCGAAAAATGGCTTTAGTGGGTGTTGAAAAAAGTACCAGCCAAGGTATTGATAGGCAGGGAGTTCTGAAGAATAGGGACTTTCACCCCACCCCCAAAAATCCAAATGAAACTTTTTCCTCTCAAAACCTCTACTTCAAAAGCAAAAAAAAGGAGAATCACAGGACTGGGAACCAAAGACCTATTTAACACTAGACTTCATTTTTGACCCTCAGACCATCAGCTTTAGCCTCCTCCCTGGTGACCTCATTCCTAATGCCGTTTTGTGTCCTCTGCGTCAGCCAAAACCCATTTGCGTTCATTTTCAGAGCAGAGTTCAGCTACGTTATTGGTTACCACAGTGGCCAAGTCTGGCCATCACTGGGTTACTGTGAAGGCGTACAGTTTTCTGGCTAAATATCATCTTATTGTGCCCATTTAGAAATTCTATTCTTTTGCGTACTACTTTGCGATTTTCTTAAAATATCAAAGCGACTTGTGAGTCTTTTAAGTAAACCAGCGGTGCACCCCATTAGCGCTTACGAAGTTGGAGGCCAAGGACGATGTTCAGCTCTATGATCATCTTCGGGGCTTGGCCACAAACCTGCAGAAAAAGAGAAGGTCCAGTGGGTCAGAAACTTGGAACTCCCTGCCACTTGAGATCAAGCAGGTGCCTTCATGCCCCACTCTTTTGGGGACATCCTAGATGTGGGATGTGATCCACTGGAGCAGTCAAGTACAACATTACCTGTATTGCTAGAGTGGACATACAGGGGATGACCGTCCAGCCAGTCAAACTTCCTGTTCCACTGGTCTGGAGTGTCCTCCCTCTGCATGTGACCTGGGAGATGGGCACAGCCCTGGCTGACTCCATAAAAGAGCCGAGTCACGCAGCCATCTTAAGCTTTCTCTCTCACACACATTCACCTGCTCTCTTGCTTGCTGATCTCTTACTGCAGTGCTGCTCTACTGCGGCCATTTTGTTCTCTGAATGTAATTTTGCTGTCTGCTGGCTCTCAGTCAGCAGCACATGAGTTCAAGCTCCATGTGAGACGAACTCACAGATTGTTATGTAACTACTAGCTAAAGCCTGCCTTTCAGGGATCAAATCGTGAACTGAAATGTGAGTAAACTTTGTTATGTACTGAAGTTCTCACCCTGGGCCAGCCGGGGATACTGTAGATAGTTCAGGTCCACATATGCAAATAAGGGATCGAAAGTGACATTCAGTGATTGGATAGTTACAGAAAATGGTTACTGTTGCGTTCTAGTGGAGCTCTATATAAGCAGGCTGGCTGAACCCTTCAGTTCAGTTCTGTTCTGGCCTGTGAATAAGCAAGAGCTGTTTGAAGAATCACCGTGTCATCTGATATGTTCACCCACAACTTAACAAACTTCTTCAAAATAAATTGAAAAATTGATGCTTTTGAATTCTGGTGCTGGAGGAGACTCTTGAACTACAAGAAGATCAAACCGATCCATTCTTAAGGAAATCAGCCCTGAGTGCTCACTGGAAGGACAGATCCTGAAGCTGAGACTCCAATACTTTGGCCGCCTCATGAGAAGAGAAGACTCCCTGGAAAGGACCCTGATGTTGGGAAAGATTGGGGGCACAAGGAGAAGGGGACAACAGAGGACAAGATGGTTGGATAGTGTTCTCAAAGCTACCAGCATGAGGGAGGCAGTGGAAGACAGGAGTGCCTGGCGTGCTCTGGTCCATGGGGTCACTGTGAGTCGGACACGACTAAACAACAACAACGACGACAATAAAGCATAGATGCACAAGAGACACCAGATTCCCCTGAAGAGAGCATTGCAGAGGCAGAGGCCTCCGATCAACTGAATTTGCTTACTGCTTTTTGGAACCTCTTCGGGTGATGTGGGGCTGCTAGCAGAGGAAAAATAAAATGCTCTGTGAGACCTACCACAGGATCCAGCACAGGGGCCAGGATTTTCGCCACTACTGGCAGCTGCAAACTACCAAAAAAAAAAAAGCAGGAATTAAGTTATTTGGAATCCTGCTCCTCTTTCCTTTCTTCATATTCTGTTGTTATTCATATTCTGTTATTTCATTTATGCATCGCTTCCCATAATTGCAACTGAACCAGCCCCCCGGCAGAGATCCCCCTTGTGCCCTGCCAGCAGGGGGTGCTGGAGAGCATGGAGGGTGAAGATCTGATCCTGCTTCCTCACGGCCGGCCCAGCAGCTCTGGCAGAAAGTGGGTTAGGGTTGGGTTGCAATACTGCTGCGCCCTCTCCAGGACTGGGGAGCGGGAGTGAGCCCCTGCCCCATTGCTGCAGCCGGTTCCCTCCGCACCACACCGCCTTGCACACCCCACCTGGGCAGCATTTTCATGCACTCCACCCCTGCATGGAAGCTGTAGCCCTTTGCCTCCCCGGGTCTTTCTTCTTGGGCGATCCCTCCTAGCCGAGTCTTCCATAAACACGGTTTTAAGAGTGAGCCCGTAAATGACTGAGGAGGCCAATTCTGGACCCACACGTCCTTTCACAGTGGAACATGCTGCTATCCTAGATCTGGTGATAGACTTGGCTGGAATCTCACACACCTTTGATGGCTCAGGGCATTTCCCCTGGTTGTGGGAAAGAGAGGCGCTCGACCGACCCCCGCCTGTCCCGTCCCCCCGCCAAGGAAAGGAAGCTGAGCATCACCTACTTGATCAGTGGGTCTACTTTGACTTCCACATACTCCGAAGAGCAGCTGCCGAAGCTCAGCCCCAAAGGTACCACCGCCAGCCGGATGGTAGCACAAAATGCGACGCGCACTGTGAGCCTAAGCAGAGAGGAGAGGAAGGTCAGCTGCTATCCAGCCCTGATTCGAGAGGCGAGGCCGAAATGAGGGCACTATGGCCGCCAACACCACCCCAGACGAGGAACGGCTCAGTGGCCAGGTGTGCGCTCTGAACACAAATGGTCCTGGGTTCAAATATTGGCATCTTCAGATAAGACTGGAGAGCCACTGCCAGTAATGGAGCAGAATCAGATTTAGGGCCTTGCCGGTGGTTCCTCCGCACAGGGTGCCCAGCCAAGGGGGCACAGAATTGTGCAGATCTATAATGGAGAAGATCCATTTGGGGCAGCCAAATTTGGGGCTTGCACAGGGCGCCACATTACAAAAGAATACCCCCCCCAAAATATATATATATAAAGGGTTTAATTTGAGTCAAGAGTGCAGAACTATCCATGTCCGTTAAACACACAAGCCAATATTTGCAACCTATTTAAGTGCTCAAGGAAATGGAATCTGTAAAATATAGCCACTAATTTTACTCTTCGGTTTAATTTGCATGCAAAAGCCAGGAAAATGTCATTAGAAATGCTCCTCTAGACAAAGGCAAGAAACTTCAAACATTTTTTTATTCCCTTCTCTTCTGCTCAATATTTCTTAGATAGATAGATAGACAGATAGATAGATAGATGATAGATAGATGAGACAGAGAGAGAGAGAGAGAGAGAGAGAGAGAGAGAGAGATGATAGATAGATGATAGATAGATAGATAGATAGATGATAGATAGATAGATAGATAGATAGATAGATGATAGATAGATAGATATAGCTAGAGATACTTATTCAAAGATATACAAAAATACAAACCCACAGCAAAGTATCTTTTTATAATATAAGGAATCAAAACAGCTACTTAATCGGGGGGAAAGAACAAAGGCAGAAAGAAAGAACGAAAAGAAAAGAAAGACCTTAAGAGAAAGAGAAAGAAGAGAACGATGGCCATATTATGAAGGTCCATCCAGAGCGCAAACAGCATGCAGTTAGATGACCAGGCAAAAAGCAGCTCCCGATGTTCCTATGTGCCCTTAGCCATGCTGTCAGGGGATGATGTGAAATGACAAATCATCTGGAGAGCCACCCTCCCATCCGATTTTTCTTTAGCGCTCTTAAATGCAAGACAGAGGATGTCATGAGCCAGGCCATATATTCCTTTCACTCATTCTCCTGCATATTTCATCTTGGCGTGTAGAGATGTTCCTTCACTTCCCTGGTGAAGGCCGGGTTTGCCTTTGTTGATCTGCCCCTTTTCACCTCTGGGGTTCCCTTTCCCACCCAGCCAGAACAGACTGGCCCCTTACGCCCAGCAGGCGCCAAGGGAACAGCAAGAGCTTTTTTGGACGGGAAGGGGGTGCCAAGAGATCAGCACCCCCCTGTCCTCAAACCACAGAGCTCACAGCCAAGGGGAGAGTCCTGCCGTGCGCGAGCAGCCGGGCAGAGCAGGCGCAAAGGCTTTTGCGGTTTTGTCTTTGCAACTCTCGGTAACAAAGGGTCTCCCAAATCTGCCCAGCGACCCGGGATGCATCTTACTCACAGCAAAGAGCACTTGATCTGGACCACGAGGCACACAACCACGTCCACGCCATAGGGCGGCCTGAAAACCACGCTCACACGCTCACACGTCAGGACATCGAATCGGCAGCTGCAGAAAAGGAAAAGGAGCTGTTAGGAGGGGGCTGAGCAGCGCCAGCCGAAGTTTCCACAACCCAAGGCAAACACGCTCCTTGTGACACAACCCTTTGCCAGCCATTTCCATTGCGGCCAAGGGCTCTTCCGGCTATGGTCATCGCAAGCTCCGGCGTGTCAGCATTTACTACTCTGCGACTGCGTGTGACCATCAAAAGCAAAAAAGGAAGGAGACTGCCCAAGTATTGGGGTCTTGGGTTTTTTACCCCCATGCAGATATATGCACCTTTGAAGCAATTCATTAAGAGATACGGGCCACATGATCTCCTGCAATGATTTTGCAAAGTTTTTTGCAGATAAAGTCGCTCAGCTTCGGGAAGAGGTAGACGCCACCGTGGGAGCAGGGCCGGGGCGGGAGAGTGCTAGAGTCCTGTCTAGTCAAATTGCGTGGGATCAAGATGAACTTTAACAGGGAGAAATGTAAAGTATTGCACTTGGGCAAAAAAAATGAGAGGCACAAATACAAGATGGGGGACACCTGGCTTGAGAGCAGTACATGTGAAAAGGATCTAGGAGTCTTGGTTGACCACAAACGTGACATGAGCCAACAGTGTGACGCGGCAGCTAAAAAAGCCAATGCAATTCTGGGCTGCATCAATAGGAGTATAGCATCTAGATCAAGGGAAGTAATAGTGCCACTGTATTCTGCTCTGGTCAGACCTCACCTGGAGTACTGTGTCCAGTTCTGGGCACCACAGTTCAAGAAGGACACTGACAAACTGGAACGTGTCCAGAGGAGGGCAACCAAAATGGTCAAAGGCCTGGAAACGATGCCTTATGAGGAACGGCTAAGGGAGCTGGGCATGTTTAGCCTGGAGAAGAGGAGGTTAAGGGGTGATATGATAGCCATGTTCAAATATATAAAAGGATGTCATATAGAGGAGGGAGAAAGGTTGTTTTCTGCTGCTCCAGAGAAGCGGACACGGAGCAATGGATCCAAACTACAAGAAAGAAGATTCCACCTAAACATTAGGAAGAACCTCCCGACAGTAAGAGCTGTTCGACAGTGGAATTTGCTGCCAAGGAGTGTGGTGGAGTCTCCTTCTTTGGAGGTCTTTAAGCAGAGGCTTGACAACCATATGTCAGGAGTGCTCTGATGGTGTTTCCTGCTTGGCAGGGGGTTGGACTCGGTGGCCCTTGTGGTCTCTTCCAACTCTATGATTCTAATTCCAATTTGTTACTTCTGAGGATGTGGACAGGCTGCTTGGGCAAGTGAAACCAACCACCTGTCTCCTTGATCCTTGCCCATCCTGGCTTAGAAAAGCTAGCCGGGAAGGGCTGGGCGATGGGCTTTGTGGGGTGGTGAATGCTTCCCTCTGTGAGGGAACATTCCCAGATCCGCTGAAAGAGGCGGTTATTAAACCGCTTCTTAAAAAACCATCTTTAGATGCGGCCAATATGGCCAACTATCGCCCAGTCTCAAATCTTCCATTCTTGGGCAAGGTGATTGAGCGAGTGGTTGCTGAACAACTCCAGGCACGCCTGGAAGAAGCGGACCATTTGGATCCCTTCCAGTCGGGATTCAGGCCTCTTCATGGGACTGAAACTGCCTTGGTTGCACTGGTCAATGATCTCCAGCAGGCTAGGGACAATGGTGAGAGCTGTTTCCTAGTTCTGCTGGATCTCTCAGCGGCTTTTGATACCATCGACCAAAGCATCCTTCTGGAGTGTCTAGAGGGGCTGAGAGCTGGGGGCACTGTCATACAGTGGTTCCGCTCCTTCCTCCTGGGCTGTGTTCAGAAAGTGGTGGTGGGGATGAGTGTTCAGACCCCTGGGCTCTCACTTGTGGGGGGCCTCAGGGTTCTGTCCTCTCCCCCATGCTTTTCAGCATCTACAAGCAGCTGCTGGGAGAGATCATCAGGGGGTTTGGGCTGGGTGTTCATCAGTATGCGGATGATACCCAGCTCTACCTCTCTTTCAAATCAGAACCACTGAAGGCGGTGAAGGTCCTGTGTGAGTGTCTGGAGGCGGTTGGAGGATGGATGGTGGCTAACAGATTGAGGTTGAATCCTGACAAGACAGAAGTACTGTTTTGGGGGAACAGGAGGCGGGCAGGGGTGGGGGACTCCCCCGTCCCGAATGGGGTAACTGTGACCCTGAAGGACCAGGTGCGCAGCCTGGGAGTGATTCTGGACTCACAGTTGTTCATGGAGGCACAGGTCAATTCTGTGTCCAGGGCAGCTGTCTACCAGTTCCATCTGGTACGCAGGCTGAGACCCTATCTGCCCACAGACTGTCTCACCAGAGTGGTGCATGCTCTAGTCATCTCTCGCTTGGATTACTGCAATGCGCTCTATATGGGACTACCTTTGAAGGTGATCTGGAAACTACGACTAATCCAGAATGCGGCAGCTAGACTGGTGACTGGGAGTGGCCGCCAGGACCACATAACACCAGTCCTGAAAGACCAACATTGGCTCCCAGTACATTTCCGAGCACAATTCAAAGTGTTGGTGCTGACCATTAAAGCCCTAAACAGCCTCGGTCCAGTATACCTGAAGGAGCGTCTCCACCTCCATCATTCTGCCCGGACACTGAGGTCCAACACCGAGGGCCTTCTGGCGGTTCCCTTGCTGCAAGAAGCCAAGTTACAGGAAACCAGGCAGAGGGCCTTCATGGTGGTGGCACCCGCCCTGTGGAACGCCCTCCCACCAGATGTCAAAGAGAAAAACAACTACCAGACTTTTAGAAGACATCTGAAGGCAGCCCTTTTTAGGGAAGCTTTTAATGTTTAACAGACCACTGTATTTTAATATTTTGTTGGAAGCCACCCAGAGTGGCTGGGGAAACCCAGGCAGATGGGCAGGGTATAAATAATAAATTATTATTATTATTATTATTATCATTATTATTATTATGCATCTGAATTATTAGCAAAGTTCTATTCAGGTGGGTGACAGCCATTGTTTTAGAGACCAATGATTCCCAAAGTGGGCAGTACTTGTAGGAATGTTTATAGATGCTAGGAGAGGATCTATTTATCGGATATTATCCATCCTTGCTCACATTTGTGAGTTCAGCAGAGTGCCATCCCTTTACAGTTTAAAAGGGAAGCTTTGATAGGCTAGCTTTAGCCTTGTAGTTTAAGTAATCTAGGATGCTTTAAGGCAGACTGGATTCTCCTGGGTCTCTTTTCTTAAGTAACTCTACTGTCATCTATCAATAATCAATTCTGGGCCCATAGTCTTTGTACGGATATGTATAGATGCTAGGAGAGGGACTGCCACCAGGGGGCAGGGGGATTACCCAGGGTGGGGCGCTAAGAGGCAAGGAGGTGTTGGGGGGGCACTGGAGTTGCAAAAGACTTATCAGACTTTGAAAATCTGGCATCACTGGATAACATTCATCCATTTGATTGAACGGCTTCATTTGGATTTTGAATAAATGTACAAGCCACCATGACAGTTTTGAATTTCACTGTGTTGTTCTTCTCAGTAGGCCATGCAAACCACCATTCTGAATAAGGCTTTCTAGAGGGTAAGGCAAGGGGCATTGGGGATGGGTTTATGGAACCAAAGGGGCAGTAGCCCCCAAAAGTATGGGGACCACCGATTTAGACGAAGCGTGTGGATTACAGCATGTGAGGAGGTCTGAGCTGTTTGCTCCGGTCGCATGGCTTTAACCAGCCTCTTTTGTTTCAGAAAGAATGGAGTCTGAAACTAGCTTTTCTCTCCTCTACGTCTACCTTTTATAACTAAGCAACATTTTAAACTGCCTGTGCATCTTTTCTGATTGCTGTATGGAAAAGCACATGAACCTGACCTTTGGACAGTTTGTAAGTAAAGCACTTTATGACTTACCGGACATGTGGCCTCTCTCTGTGCTAGGGAAGTGGGATAGCTTGGGGAAAGCTTTTAAAAGGGGACATTGTGCGAATCACCAGAAGGACACATTTGAAAGGTTTCACAGCCTAGATTTCTACACTTCTCTTTGCTGCGTGTTTTGCCATGCTACATCTCTGCTGGGGGGTCTTCTCACCAAAGAGCACTTGCCCCAAACTTTGGTCTTGGCTTCCAGGATTCCAAGAGAAACAAGAACCCGGAGCAACTTGGAGAGTGGAGCTTGTCTCCCATAAAAGCATCTAAACTAATGACTTCCCCGCAGGAAGATCGTTACTCACCCAGCCAGACCAGGAAGGGCGGGGACAGGGAGCTGTTGGATAGGACCTTGCAGGGATTGCGCCCAGTAATATTTTGTGGAAAGGCAATCTGTAAAGAAAACACAAAGAGGAGATTATTGGAGAAGGGAGAGGCAAGGACCAGGTTCTTCAATGCCCTGGAACAAGCCAGGGTTGGTGCAAGCCAGCAGTCTTCCACATTCAGCATTGGGAAAGTCGTGGCCATGTGAAAAGTTCATTTATTTCAGTAATTCAACTGAAAAGGTGAAACTAATATATGAGGTAGACTCATGACATGCAAAGCGAGATATGTCAAGCCTTTATTTGCTGTGGCGTACAGCTATTTGCAATTCTTCTTTTGCTGATTTCATTTAATATTCTAATTTTTTGAGATTGTTTATTTGGGGTTTTCATCAGCTGTACACCATGATCATCACAATTATAACAAATAAAGGCTTGACATATCTCGCGTTGCATGTCATGAGTCTATCTCATACATTAGTTTCACCTTTTATGTTGAATTGCTGAAATAAATGAACTTTTCCACGATATTCTAATTTTCCGAGTTTCACCTGTATATAAAGCTGTATAAAAAAATTATAATCAGAGGTCAGCTAGCTCTTACAGAAAGATGCCATTCTTAATTGCCTGCTCAAGCCTGATGGAATAATTGCAAAAGTTTTCAGCAGGTATCTGGAAGTTGGAACGTCTGGCTGAACCTTGCCCACCTGGGAAGGGAACCCATCTAGGAGAAGCAAAGCGCTCATCCTAAACCTCCACTGCCTTGCAGGGAATCTTTGGGAGAAGAAAAGGCTCAAACACATTGCTCTGCTTTCCTCTGGACCACATCAGTGGGGCTGAGAGGGAGGTCTTGTCCTCTGGGCATCCCAGGACCTCCAAACACACTGCCCAGGCTTGTCCCCCAGAGGTCGCTTTGGTGCTGCTAGTGCAGC